TCCATGTGCACCTAATCCCCCATAAGCTAGTTTCTTTGCAGGCGGTATTCCGGGTAAGCCCTATCACTCGGTTCCTTGCATGCAGGCTAACATGGAAAAGCAAATTCTACCAGCACGAGGTGCTGTTAAAGTATGATTGGTACTGGCGACTGGAGCCGGAGATCAAATACTTCTGTGACATTACCTATGACCCGTTCATCCACATGATTCGGAACAAGAAGACATATGGCTTTACTATCGCCGTCAAAGAGCTGCGAGAGACGGTTCCCAACATCTTTCGGTATGCATCCGCTTACAAACGAATGAACAATTTTACCTCGAAGGGGCTTTGGGAGATGTTTGTGGAGAAGCCTGAGGAGGAGGACAAGGCGGAGCCGAAGATGGAAACAAAACCCAATTTCTTCCCGCAAGAAATGATGAACTCGGACCCTGGTGAGAATGGCCTACCAAAGATCCATCCGGAAAACATGGAAGGCGAATCGTACAACATGTGCCACTTCTGGAGCAACTTTGAGATTGCTAACCTGAACTGGTTCCGAAGCCAAGAATACAACGACTTTTTCGAATTGATGGACCGCAGTGGCGGGTTTTGGAACGAGCGCTGGGGAGACGCACCCATCCATTCGCTAGCTGCTGGCATCCTCCTAAGTCCCAGTGACCTGCATTACTTTCGTGATTTTGGGTATCGGCACACGACCATTCAGCATTGCCCAGCAAATGCACCGGCTCGACAATTACCCAGAGAGCCCTATCTGGAGAAGACGACAGTGGACGAGAAGGAACGACTTGAAGAAGACAGATACTGGGCGACGCCAGATGCGGTCAAAGAGAATGGGGTGGGCTGCCGCTGTAAATGCGACACGGACATTGTGGACGTGGAGGGCAAAGAAGGGTCGTGTCTTGCGGATTGGGTCGAGGTTGCTGGAGGTTGGGCGTCCCCTGGTCCGGCTGGATGACGATGTGCGAGTTTTTCCTTTTGATGCGCTATACCATTTGCCGGGCGCAGGTACCGTGGGAGTATCATCATAGGCTTGTTATCATGTATGGCGCAATGGTGTTGGCAATGCATATGGTTGTCGTTGGTCAGCGGGGCCCCAAGTGCAGACTAGGTCATACTCTAGGCGGGCAGCGTTACCGGTACCATGCCTCTCACTCTCCGTTGCGCAGCCACTAGTGAACAGCCATTTCGGGGACGCAGCCATGTCCAAGGTGTATGTTGCAATAGATGATGAGTCAATCACTTGAGGACAGTCTGGAGTGTAAGTGCCTAGTCGGCTGGCAGCGCGTGTACTTTTGGTTTGTCTGCACTGTCGGGCAGGTGAGGTAGGTGGTGTGTGTTGGCGGAGAGCGGTACGGGTATGTACCGGTAGTGTGCTGTGGTGGTAGGTAGGCAGTAGAGAGTAGAGAGTAGTGTATGACCAACTGTCTAATCGGGGGCGCGACGTGGGGTTAGGGCAGAGGCAGGCCAGGCAGAGGTCATTGGGACCCCTCTCCTCTCTGGAAGCCGACTGGTACTCTACGTTGTACGGTACCGGTACCATAGGCCATCAGGCGGCAAAGAGGCAAGCTGCATCATCACCCCATTCAACGCCCGGTAGCCCATCTGACGTCCTCCTCCACTTCCGCTTGCTGCTCTTGAGCACTCTTTAACTGACGACGAGAACCACCTGGGGCAGCCCCTCTTTTTCGTTCCTTGCAAAGAGATACAGTAGTATCCACGGTCTACACTGTGTAGCGTACAGAGGTGCTGTGTGTTGTTTCAGCGTCGCCCCCGCTTGCATCATCATCATCATCATCATCATCCTCCTCCTCCTCCATCAGCGAAACCCTGGCTGGTAAGACTCCCTTTCCAAACACGCGCCTGGCGGCCCTGGTCCGCGACTAGCTGTTAGGCAGCGCCCGCCCGCTCTGCTATCCTACACACGTGCACCCACCCTCTCCAAGAGACAGAGCCCATGCTCCCCCTCCAAACCCCCCCACCTCTCCCTTCCCCCACTGTCTCCTTCCTCTGCACATTGCCAGCTTGCTCTCACACACCCATTTCCTTCCATGACTATCTATTGACATGCCTACTAGTAGTCCTGACCCTCCTCAAGATTTCAAGTTTCCTCCCATGCGGGTCAACCAGTCGCTCGCCAGACTAGACCTAGACACGTTGATAATGAGATCGTCCGCACGCCCCGCCGATGAGGCCGGTAGCTCGCTCGACGGCAGCACCTACGACGTCCTTGGCGACAGTCTGCTCGAGACATCGGACGACGAGGCTCATACAGAGTCTATTGCGTCCACGGATGGCCCCACGCCTGACAATGCCTCGGAGTTTAGTGATGATGACTTCAATTATCCAATGGGCGACAAGGACCTGCAGGATAGTTTCCACTCCTCGCAGGCCGAGAACGCAGATAACCACATGGACGTACTCTCGATTGGCAGTGGTCAAGATAGCACGCTGACTGAACGAGCGGCCGGCTTGGATCGCAGCGGGAGCATGTGGATCAGGCTGGACGAGCAACCCATGCAGGAGGACGGCGTCACACAGGGCAGTGAAGTCTTTATTAGCAAGCCCGACGCCAATGGGGAGCTGCACAAAGTACTCGAAGTATACGGCTGTGCCCAAATCCGAATGCTGGTCAAAGCCGCCCTCGCCCCACAATACGCTTCTACCCCAGACACATATAGGATACTCTATATTGGTAAGCCTGACAAGTGGATTGAGGATCTGATTACCGAACACATCGGCAAGGCACTCACCGCATCACCACACCCCTCCAAATCGGTCATGGTCAGAGGTCAGATTGAACCGTATAGCCCAATTATGCACAGGCTGCGGTGTGTTGAGCTTCACACGTTTGCGGCTCATGAGAAGCCCTCACACGTCCTGGCAATACTAGAAGACGGACAGGAATTAAAACTCGGCCGTGGCCTCCGCTCCGCGCCAGACAATCGACCAGATCTAGTCATCTTCTGTCATGCAGCAAGCATGGGAAATACTGACGCGCGCGACTATGCAGCTGCCGGTAATGTCTTCCAACGCGAAGGCATTGCCTGTATTAACCTAACAACTGCGCGGCCTTACGGGGCCGGCGCAACTTCCTTCGATCCACGGATGCTCAGGGTACACGTCGAGGGCAGCAATGACGGTGATACAGAGTACGAGCTAAAAGAAGTCCTTCCTTTGGACTACTACACGTTCGTACACCTCGAGCCGTCTCAGCTAAACCGTCATTTGGCGCTCATGAGTCCTAATTTATTGTCCACTCCACACGCACGAGGTGAATCGAGGCTGCTTTTCCCGAGGCAAGAGAAGAACAGTATAACGTTTGATTTTCTGGCATCAATATGGCCGATCCTCAAGCCTTGGTTGAAGGCTATCCTGTTGTGTACACTGTTGCCCGCTGTTTTCCTTGGAATAGCATACGGTCCCATGTTCTATCAGATGTCTTCCAACTGGACAGCTGAAGTGGACAGCTCATCGCAGGCTTTCCCGCTGAGCTCCACAATCGTCCAAACTATACCAACTTCATCTAGTTTACCTGTGGCATCCGTTTCCACTGCAAAGCCGTTGTCCACTGGGCCTTCTGCCATCCCATCGCCGGCCAAGTCAGCCAAAAAGCCAAGTGCGAAACAAAAGAAACCGAGCAAGGATCATAGCTTCCACATCTTAGGCATGGGAGACCATCAATTCATCCTTGCTCCAAAGGGAAGCTTCAAGGCAAGCAAGAACAAGCCTCAGATACAGATCAATGTTTCTCGGGAAAACCAACCCATCGCTATTCGTTACAACCGTACTATAAATGGCGATTATATTGTCGATCTTGAGTCGGAGTATCCTAAGAGTAACTTCACCGTGAAGATTGCGACCTACTCGAAGCCTTTGCTGAGGCAGTCTTTCGAGATCACTCTAGGGCACAACAAGTCAAGGCTACAGCAGGTACTCGGCACAGCAATGAACAATCTCCAAGGCTTGTCATCTTCAGCGGTGCAGCAGATGCAGGCACAGCTGGCGAGACTAGAAGCTGCCAACACGCCCAAGGAACAAGTAGCAGCCTATATCCAAGATGCACGGCAGGCAGTGCAAGCTCAAGTATCTACAGGCACTGAACGGTTGAAGCAGGCTCAAGGCGCCGCATGGACAGGGCTTCGCCAGGCAACTGCGCCAGTTCGGACCTCGCCGACCGTATTGAAAGCCAGGAAAAATGCCCTCCGTCTTCGATGCAAATTAGAGACTGCCACCGGCTTGAGGGTCAAAGGCAGCAAGGATGCAGAGAGTTGGGCATGCGCAAAGGTGCGGGATATGGCTTGAGTTGTAGGGTTTCGGGGTGGGCTGTAGTCAGTAAGAAGGCGAGGGAAGAGGGAAGCTTTAAAGCCTGGAGTCTCGGTTTCATTTTCTTTGGGCGGTCATAAGGGTTTGCTGTGCGGAGACCTCAGATTCTAGGAGTCGGCGTCGTGTTGGGGGCTATACCCACGACCTATCCACCGGCAGGCCATGATGTGATGGGACCATATGGGTTGGGTTGCCTCTGGAGGGAGAGAAACTTTTCTGGCGTTTGGAAGACAGCATTGTAAGTAGGCCCACGATATACCACGATCCTAGCGACGGTTCTATGTAGTCCTTGCGAGACTTGCGATATGTATGTAATTGCCCCTCCTCCCTCTTGAGATCATGCTAGCTTCGATCTGCAAGTGAAGCGTGTATGACGTCGCCTTGACCCATCCTTCTATCATGATGCCACCTGCCACCTGCCACCTGCCACCTGCCACACTCGCAAAAAGGTAGGTTATGTGGATATATGTAGAGGCCGTGCATGTGGTGGGCAGAAAGAAATTGCTTGTGATTCACATACGAGATTGTCGGCTTGGATGATGGGCCAAGAAGCAATCAGTAAGCGTGTCCGGGCAACTGCGAGTGTGAGTATGCAAGTGGCTGGTGAGAGGCCGCCAGAATGGTCCCTGAGTCAAAAGCGGTTTAGCGCGGTGTTGCCCCTCCATCGCGCCTCCCACTTCATTTTCTAGGGCAAAGCAGCGAGACAGCGACGAACACCCAAACACATACACACACCCACACCCACAAAAGGACTCATTTTTCGCCCTTCCGTTTTCTGCTCGCCACACGCTCGTCCGCCTTTCTTCATCGCCACATCACAACATGTCTGACGTCGCCAAGCCAGACCCCGCCGCCGACCAGGCCGCCGCACCTGGCGCCAGGTTGGTGGAGGACGAGACTGCAAAGGTCACCACGGGCATCGCCGCAAACAAGACCGAGAGCACAGAGACCAAGGACGATAAGTCAATCACCGAGAAGGCCACAGACACTGCCAGCTCGGCTGCAGCCGCAGTGAAGGACAATGTCTTCTCCATGTTCGGTGGCGGTCCCGCAAAGGTCAAGAGGGAGGAAGTTGACGATGTCGACGAGCCATCTGGCGCTTCCAAGCCCAAGGGCGATGTAAGGCTGCGCGCTCAACTGCAACATGCACCATACTGACAGCGGCAAAGGACGAGAACCCCGAGAACGAGGAGCCCGACGTCGAGTTCGCGCCCGTTGTCCACCTCACCGAGAAGGTCGACACGAAGACCAATGAGGAGCTTGAGGAGCAAGTCTTCAAGATGCGCGCCAAGTTGTTCAAGTTTGACAGGGAATCGCGGGAGTGGAAGGAGCGCGGCACTGGCGACGTGCGGTTACTCAAGCACAAGGAGAATGGCAAGACCCGTCTGGTGATGCGCCGCGACAAGACCCTCAAGGTTTGCGCCAACCACTACGGTATGATGTATCACCCAAAGGAAAAAGCGAAAATGATACTGACTGCGTCGCAGTTGTCCCTGACATGAAGCTTTCTCCCAACGTAGGCAGCGACCGCAGTTGGGTCTGGAACGCTGCCGCCGATGTCAGCGAAGGCGAGCCTGAAGCTCAGACCCTGGCCATCCGTTTTGCCAACAGCGAGAGTAAGTCGACTTGGCGTAAGAGCCGCAGCCTCATACTAATCATCGTGTGCAGACGCCAACGCCTTCAAAGAGGCTTTCATCAAGGCTCAGCAAGAGAACGAGGCCCTCTTTGGTAGCAAGTCGGAGGCGTAAACGTCCAAGTGATGTTCCATGTTCAGTTTGGTATATGCGGGAGGAATTAGGGAACGATGCATGCATGCACGAAACAGCGATGATCTTTGGGAGGGTAACATACCACGAGGATAGACGACATGACCCCCACACCCTGCACATAGTAGATAGCCCTAAATTGGCCGGGCTACTGTAGTAGCCCATGGCATTTCCCAAGTACAATAATCCCTGGAAGCGCTTGCTAGTCGGTGGTGAGCATGTGAAGTTGACAAAAGTCCCTCCATGTGCTGAGATAGAGGTAAATGCTTGTTGTAGCAATGACCGATGGTGTGGTACAAACACATAGACGCACACACTGTCTCTATCTCTCTCAAACACACACACACACACACTCTCTCTCTCTCTCTCTCTCTCTCTCACCTGGGTGAGAAACAAGCTGTCACGACATCCAGGTCATGCATGCAGCCGTCTCATGCTTGTCGTTTGTGCCAAGGCCCGGCTGCACCCACCCCAAGGCTGTCGGCCCCGCGACTTGGGTCTGCCTCCGCCAAATCAAAGCTCCCCAGCCAGCCAGCCACCACCGTGATTCCCAACTTCAGATACCACAATTGCGACAAGGAACGCGCCCTCCGCCCAAGTGTAGTCGCGTACGATCGCGCCCTCATACCGGTTCATTGCAACAAAAAGCGCATACTGCCTAGCTATTCAAAATGCCGGACGTGAGTTGCGCCTCTTTAGAGATGAAATGCCCTGCGAGATGCTAACATGCTCCAGGTCAAGCGATATGTTAAGCTTGTCACTCATCAGAAGCCCATGTACGTGTATATTGTATGCGATCGCAGGCGCTTCGCTTTCTCACGCGTCTACGCGCTGATTCCCACGCTGCGGAACCTTCAACTCATCTGCCAGTGGCTAACATGCGCATTACAGCGAAGAGCCTTCGCCTATGGAAGGCTACCCCATGCGCAAATGGAGCATCGAGGTCTGGCTATTAGACGATCAGGGCAACGAGGTCCTTCCCACCGTCTTCGAGAAGTGCACATACAATCTCCATCCCACATTCGAGAGGAACAAGCAGGGTAAGCGCGCAGACACTGTAACCTTCCCACCACAACAGGCAACCTAACAGAAGCAACAGTCTTCAAGAAGCCCCCGTTCCGAATCGACGAGAAGGGTTGGGGAGAGTTCGACATGAACATTGTCCTCACAGCCGTAGGCAAGGGCGGCGATCACACTCTAGAGCACGACCTCAACTTCCAGTCTGAGCGCTACGAGGCCAAGCATCAAATCGTACGTCTCAGTATTCTGCTCTGAAAATGGGACGTGGCCAAATACTAACGCTCTCACGTACAGACTTTTCGCAACCCCAAGCCTGAACTCCTCGCCATACTGCAAGAAAGCGGCCCCGTCGACGCCAATGGTGTCCGCGGCAAGGAGGCAGCCAAGAAGAAGAACAGGCGGGACAAGAACGTTGACATGGAGAAGCTGGCCGACGGTCTGCAGAAGCTGAGCGAGGACGACTTGCTGCACGTGGTCACGATGGTGCACGACAACAAGACCAGCGAGACATACACCAAGAACGATGTCGAGAGTACGTTTCCATCCTGTCCCCCACCACCACCTCTTATCCCCCTTTTCAGACAACGAACTTGAACTAACGACGCAACGCAGATGGCGAGTTCCACGTCGATCTCTACACCCTTCCAGACTCGCTCGTCAAGATGCTGTGGGACTTTACAGCCAGCAAGACAGATTTATGAGCCTGGCCCCGTGAGCGAGCGAGCGAGCGAGCTGCCACGTATCGCCCTGGATTTGACAACCACAACATCGCGGTCCTGTTGCCAAAATCCAACATCCGTCGTTGGCTTCGAGAATCCAGCCCCCCCCCCTTGATTAGCGGACCACACCCGAACCCCGAACCCAACCTCTCTTCGCAGCCCACTCTCAGTCAGGAAAAATCCCCGGTGCTACAAAAATGCTCACACCAGGACTCTTAATTTCCTATCCACAACCGCGCTTTCTCTCACATCCTAAAACCCCCCTTTTTTCTCCGCGCTATACCATGCCATCATGCCACCCCCCCATGCCCATGCCTCCCCTCCCCGCACTTTAATAATCTCCCCGAGTTCAACAAGCACGGGCGTTTTCTTCGCAGGGGAAAAAAGCTGGATGTTTCTACTTCTTCTACTTCTTTTTCCTTTTTCTGTTCTTTTTTTTCTTCTTCTTTCCATATCATACCGCGCATTGGGCATAGGCGCTGGGAACTTTTGCTTTTCTGTCTCGGGTGGGGAGGCGGGGGGCGAGGTGATGCGGGGTTTCGGGGGTGGGGGGGGGGTTGTTTATGTAGGGGGTATGTAGGGGTGGGTGGAGGGTGGGGTTGAATGAATTTGGATTGGATTTGTGTTTGGATTTGTGTGTGTGTGTGTGTGTGCCATATGTCATGGGTGTACTGACCCTCCATCCATCCACAAACCCCTTCCTTTCACACGTATATCCCTTTCTCCCTCTAACTGTAACTGCTGAGCAACTCATCCACCCCGTAGAACTCCTACTCGTCGAGTTCTACAACACAACATCCCCCATCCCACATGTACACATCTTCCCTCTTCATATCCTACCCACCTACAAACAAAACACGCTACAAACTAGGTGTCCCGTCGGTACCATACACATTCTCGATTGCGCAGAGCAATGTCTTGTGTCATGACGTGGACAGCGAGGGGGAAGAGGGAAACAGGTACGGTACTGTTGGTTGTTGGCCGTTGTTGTTAGCGTCAGTGTCGCATATAACCACTACGCTTGCCTGTCCTGCGGTGACGAGTGTAATAGGAAGAAAAGTATAATGGCTAGAATTGTCTCGTGGGGTGCGTTGTGAAATGGGGCTCGTGCAGCAGCTGAGAGACCTGACATTTGCTTGTTTGAAGTGCGGTTGCATGTATGTCACGGACTCACGGGTTGAAGATGGATGGTGGGGGGATTTATGTTCAAGAAAGGGTTGAGATTATGATTGGATGGCGAGATGCATGGAAAATAATAATATTAGATGCATAGAAATGTACATGTATATATCTACTACACACCCCATTCTGACAACCGGGCATACCCACCAGACAAGGCATTTGCAACATCAAAAGTACGGACCAAAATAACAACGATATGCTTCTTTCCAGAATGAAGAGAAATAAATCCATCTAGCCACCAAGCCAGGACCTAGCCAAATCTTCGAGCTGCTTTGCAGCATCCCTCCTCTTATGTTCCGTCCTCTTGCTGTTCGCCCACCGTCTCGGACTCGACCGCACCGAGCCTCTCAAGCCCGGGGATGTACTGAGGTAGGTGCGGATACGCGTCACACCAGGCTGCTGCACCCGCCTCACCCTCTCCGACCTCATTCTCCTGAGCATAATGTACTCTGCCGATCTCCTCACCACCGCCCTTCTCTTCGTCCGCCGTTGCCTCCATTTCAGCATCATCTTCCTCTCTTTGCGCTGTCTAAAGTAATAGACCCTGTTCTTCCTCTGGCGCACGAAGCTTTGGAATTTCGCACTCAGCTCGGCGTCCGTCATCCCTTTTACCCCAAGACCAGCCCACATGATCCCTGCTCGTTTGGCAGCTACCCTGCCACCACGTTCAGAGGCGTAAAATTTCTTCCGCCCGGAAATCGGCCTGATGCCGCGAGGGCCGTAGGCTTGGAAGAGAAGCGAGCGGGCCGTTGTCGCGACCCGGGCGAGTCTTTGCTCAATGATATAAGCTCGCTTCATGAGGGAGGCAGGACTTTCGCGGAATCTGTGCTTGATTTTGTGGATGGGTGGGGTTGCGGGTGGCACTTCGATCGGCTGAGCGGGCTGGTGTTTACCTTGGCTGGCAGCGAGAGTGGCGGAATCGTCGTCTTTAGTCAAGTCGACGGACGTGGATTGTAGAGAGTCAGCACCAAGGTTGAGAGACTCATGATCGATGTGAAATGGAGGTACGACGTGTGCTAGATGTGACAGGGTGATGTGTCGATCTGCGAGGCTTTGCATGGCGGCGTTGTATTCCTCTGTCAAGCGGATAAGATGTCGATGCAGCCCTCGATGCCTTGCTTTCAACTTCTTGTAGAGTGGGCTTCTTGGGCTCCTTGGGCTCCTTTCCAAGCGACTTGCTTCTTCCAGGCGACTTGCTTCTAATACGTTCGAAGAGAGAACGCGATGCACTGGCAGTTGGGAAGTTTCATCCTTTTTGGCTTGGTGAATGTCCCAGGCTTGAAGACATTCCTCCTGTCTAGATTGGAGTTGCTGAGATTGGTGTGGACCGCTCCCGATTGCCCCCAAGTTTTTGGTGTGTACTGAATTAGGTACCTTGAAGGGAGTGAGAGGTGGTGGCTTCGAAAATCAGTGCATTGCTGTATTTAATTCGCTGTTCTACGCTCACCTACGTCTTGGGGAGCACCATCCTCATCTACATTTTGTCTATCTTCCCTTTGAAATCCCGTAGTTTCGTTATCGAGCTGCTTCAATGCAGTGCTCACCGCCTTGAGCTTGTTTTTATCTCTACTCTTCTTTGGTGTCTTGGGCCTCTCGATATCTAATTTCCAAAACCGAGCAAAAGGCACATCGATGGTCGTAGTGACCGATGTGTCAACCAAGGCACCTTTCAAGATACGCTTTGTAAGTGTTAGTGGTCCTTCGGTCAAAGCACCGAAACTATGTTTGAAGATCGACGCTCCTGATGAAACTGGTTCCGCATGCTGCCAAGACCTCCCGGGGATGGAATCAGCTGTGCTTGGGACTGTGCCGAGCTCCCAGCCCACAGCACGATCCTCAGGTATCGCCTTGATTTGCTCTTCAGTGTCGTATCGTGCAGCCTCTGCAGATAAATGTGACCATGGTTGTATGAAGAATTGTATCAAATCACCGTCATTTATAACGGGTGTGAGAGTAGAAGCAAAGTCCTCAGGATCAGCAGGTGTGCTCGGCAACTCCTCTGTACCAGACGTTTCGCTAGGAACGGTAACTGGAGCAGGATCCAGCGACAAGAGACCAGCTTTCTCTCCCCATCCACCGCCTCCGCTCAGCACACGGTGGAGTCGAGCACCTCGAGCGATGGCGTCTGCTACAGCATTGGACCACACAGGTGGGTCACTTTTCCATAGACTCTCCCACTGATAGTCGGCCCCTACGTCTCCGTTTCGGTCTAGCCAGTACTTCGTCGAACTGGAGACTAACGGTTTCAACTGAGAAGGTACAACTAGTGCCCAGGCTGTTGTGGCTTGTGCAGGTTCACCTCGGGCTTGGAAGAACTTTGGAACCACTTCCTCGAGCTCTGACGAGGCCGTCACTTCGTCACCTTTGCTATCAATGATGCGACGGATGATATTGCCCATACATCCACTGACATGTCGGGGCATGGTCAAAGGCAGAAGGGGAATGCTCAAGGAAGTGACCAAGCCTGGGATGCCGTTTTTGATCTTACGGCCTTCAAGATGTGCGTTGACACGAACTTGATAGTGCGAAAGCTTTTCCCTCGACACCTTGTGTAGAACGGGTCCAGTCGCTTGGGTCTCGTAGCATAAGCGGAACATAGTGGTTGCGGTACCAGTCTGGAAGATAGTATTTGCTAGTGGCAGGCGCAGCACCTCGTAGTCTGGCAAAGCCTTGCCATGTTCTGAACTGTTCGGACGGCCCGCCGACGTAACGAAATCGATTGCACCTGGGCATGTGGATACTGGTGGTAAATGTAGATTCGATGGTGCACTGTATGCGGCTGGGAGGGAAACATAGGCAAAGCCTTCGAATCCGGTTGCAGCGACAGGCAGCTCGTAGTCACGGGCTTCGCCTTCAGAGTAGAGGTTGTCTAGTGCCGTAAGTGGTCGACCAACGGGCAGCTTGTCCACCACAGCACACAATGCCTCGATCCGCATATTAAAAATGCTCTTTGCCTTGAGTTTGACGATAGTCTTGTTGAAAACGCGATAGAGGAACTTGCCCATGAACCCATCGTCGAGCAACTTTGAGGCGAAGGACGGTGTGACAAGAATGACACATAGTTTCTCTTTGGCTCTGTGCTGACCTACAGACCGTACGTGACTGAGCAGCGTTCGCTCCTATGGAGGGTCAGCGGGTGTCGAGGGCAATTTGATGTCAAGACATGGACCTACATCTTGGTTGACCGAGTGAGGAATGATTGTGGCGGCAGCGAATGGCGAGGGCTGTATCTGAGGCGGGGGTCTATTCACAATTGATCTCTTGCCTTTTGCTTTGGCGTGAGCGACTGCGAAACGGGACAAGAGAGCATTTGGAGCTGAAGAGGTCTGAGGGACAAGCCATCGTCGCGGGGCCAGCAGAGGCATTGATTGAGAGTCAGTGGATCATAGCGAGCAGGTGAGGTAGAAATAAATGAATGGTGTTGTAGCCCAGCCACACTAGAGTTAATCGAATGGGAATGGGGGAGGGACCGAAATTCGAACTGAATCCAAAAAAAATAATTACATGAGGTCAGCACTCGGTCGGAGGTTAAGCTTCGTTCCCTTCCCGCAATTTTGAATTAACCACATTAGGACGCACTAGGCTGGGTAGGGTATGGGACAGTTTGGCCTGCGTAATTAACAGGATGAGTCAGCCGAGAACGCTTCCCCTGGGTATTTTACTAAGATACCAGATGAGTCAGCTTGGCGGCATCGAAACGGCCGCCGGTTGCAAGGGCGATACACAACAGTACGCACAGCACGACACGCTGCCGCAGTCAGCCATTCCTGACATTTTTTGCGCTTCTCTTTCACCCCCACCCCCCTTCCCCCCCTGCTGCTGCTGCTGTAAGCTCCGGGAAAGAAGAGCTATCCGTCTCGTCTGTGTGTTTATCTGGCCTGTCCCGCGTACATTTGACTGTGTCGCTGCGCCATCCCTACAGACCTCCCCTACCTACCACAGTACATAGTAACACGCCCGCCGAACACTTTTTTGAACGCCAGTTTGGCCACATCTTGTACACCCTTCCTACCCTGCCTCCTTGCGCCAAATCTCACCCGCACCCGCACCCGCACCTTCACCCTCTCCATCCTCGCCCGCCACCCCCAATCTCTTTCTGATGCCCCATTCGTAGACGCTCTTCGACTTTTGGCGACCGTGGTGCGCCATCTTTCCCCTGCCCGCCCACCATGGCACGCTCTTTGCGCCGATCCAACCCCATCACCATCATCCTCGCTGGCATTCTCTGCATAGGCTTCTTCGTCTTCTTCTTCTCGGGCGGCGATGGCCCCTCCGCTGGCAGATCCAACCGTAGCGAGACGGCGTCAAGCCCCTTGTCTCCACCCTCACTGCCCTTCCGCAAATCCAAGGCCAACGCTCCACAGGCGGCGCCGCCCGTCGTACATTACTACATGAACAATGTCACCACCTCGCGGACGCCCATTGAGAACGAGGAGACGGTCCTCATCCTGACGCCCCTCGCGCGCTTCTACCAAGCGTACTGGGACAATTTGCTCAAACTCACCTACCCCCACCATCTCATCTCCCTCGGTTTCATAATACCCAAGACGAAGGAAGGCAATGCAGCCTATGCAGCTCTCCAGGCCCAGATCACGAAGACGCAGACAGGGCCCAAAGCAAAGCGCTTCTCGTCCATCACCATCCTTCGCCAGGACACTGAGAGCCCTTTGATCTCTCAGGATGAGGCTGAGCGACATAAGATGGAAAATCAGAAGCCACGTCGCGCAGCCATGGCCAAAGCGCGCAACTCTCTCCTCTTCACCACACTAGGGCCTACGACATCCTGGGTCCTCTGGATGGATGCGGACATCGTCGAGACCCCGGCCAGTCTGATCCAGGACCTTGCTAGCTATGATGTGCCCATCATTGCACCCAACTGCTTCCAGCGATACTACAACGAGGAAAAGAAGGCCATGGCCATTCGTGAATACGACTTCAACAACTGGATCGACAGCCCCACGGCGAGGGAGCTAGGCGCAAAGATGGGCAAGGATGACATTCTGCTTGAAGGATACGCCGAGATGGCGACTTACCGCACTTTAATGGCCAAGATGTACGATCCATCCGCCGATCCTGGTACTAAGATCAAGCTCGATGGTGTTGGCGGTGCAACACTACTGGTCAAGGCCGAGGTACACCGTGATGGAGCCATGTTTCCACCATTTGCCTTCTACCATCTCATCGAGACTGAGGGATTCGCCAAGATGGCGAGCCGCTTGAACTGGGAGAGTTTCGGATTACCAAACTACCTTGTAAGTCTCACCAAGCCTCCATCCCATGACCACCAGTCTAACTTTGACAGGTATTTCACGTTAACGAGTAAAACCCTTTGACGAAATATACCTTCATTCTACTATGGGCACCTTTGACTCGAGGATCATTGGTTGGCGTTGTATAGGCGATCTACCAGCCCGGCTACATTGTTGCCATCGCAGAGCGTTAGACTCTATTTTGTTCGCACATGTATCATCTATAACTCAGCGTTGTTTGTGCATTTTTCTGTAGGTATAGCTTAGCTTGCTGGCAAGAGTCCCCCTCAGTAGTACCAGCAACAGCAAGGGAGATTGTGAGAGATTATATGGCAATTATATTAGAACCAGACCAAACCCTCTACCATTGCCCTCGATTTGCAAAGAGCGGCTCACGAAGGCTAACATGCTGATGTTGAAAAGCGCTATGAAGTAGTGGCTCTTTGTGGCAAAGCTTGAGCTCCTCCGCGGACACAATTCTTGGCCTACCTACTCCTTCCACCCGTTCCAGATGCTACAAATAGAGTACTATTAGAGCATGACCACAGACCCTAGTTTACGCCTCTCCCGTACTCTGCTTCACCTACAAGCGGGATCACGACTATCAAAATGAAATGTACCACGATACGCTATCACTTTATAGACTCTGTCAATGTACACAGATGATCCCCAGTCGCTTGAAGACTACCGTGTGTACATGACAGCATGACCATCCATGATGAAGCAAGATCGGCCGCCGAAGCACCGCTCGCTCCCGCACCATTACCAGACTACAAGAGCCACGCGCCCGGGAATACCTGAGCTGCACTGCGCAATGCATGCGCACATGAAAAGACTCCGCGGTCGTCCGCGTGATTGGGAACCGAAGGACGACCCAGGTTGAACCCTTTTTGAAACTTCAAGCCTTCACTCAAACTACCATCTCGAGATTTTGTTGTGTGTGGTGTTGCCGTGTCTCCCGAGGTAGGAAATTGGAAAGCTTCGCATCGTTGGTCAAGTCGCGTTTTGGGAGGAGGCCTCGAGGATCGCCTCGGGATTCTATTTTATACGAAAGGGTCAGATGGCAGCCACGATGATGTCCAATGAGCCCCGCTCTAGGTCTCCACCCTTGGACACCCACTACCACCACCACAACGACAAGGTTGACGTCAAATATAATACCAAGAAGAACAGGAGCAAGAGCAAGAATAACAACACAGCACCACTACCACCACCACCCGACGAAACCTCTTCCATCGCCCACCACTGTACATCTCCACATCACAACTACAACGCCATCTCCCTCTCCTCCCCTGCACCACCCGCAACAACGTCGTCCCCATCGTCGCCGCCGCAGATCCACGGAGCCACAGCACCGGATGAAGGTACGGCAGGACATCTCGCGCCCGCAACAGTACACCGTGATGTAAACAAACCAGGGGGGGGAGAAGGAGAAGGAGGAGGTATCAGTGAATCTGAAAGACCGACCAGCGCAGAGCGTGAAGCCGCCATTGTCGAGCGCGCAGAGTCGGGATGGTGGCGGCAATTCTGGGAAAAGTATGGAAGTGTAGAGTTGGAGAATAAGGGGAGTGTGGCCAGGGATCATTTGGCGCTTGGTGAGTTGTGTTTTTTGTCTTGACTTCAATCTTTTTCCTTTCTGTTCCCGGTTCCATCTACAGCCCTTTATCTATCCCTTTCAACCCAATACCCCTAAACATATCACACACACCCGCTAACCCACCATCTTCCCAGAACGCACCTTCCTAGCCTGGCTCCGCACCTCCCTCTCCTTCGCCTCAATCGGCATAGCAATCACCCAACTCTTCCGCCTAAACACCTCTCTCTCGCCCCCGTCCTCCTCTCCAAACAGCCCGGCAACCTCGTCCACCTCCTCCCACCACATCAACACCCGCCTCCGCTACCTCGGAAAACCCCTCGGCGCAACCTTTATAGCCATTAGCATCGTCATGCTCGCCATTGGCTTCCACAGATACTTTGAGGCGCAGCATTATGTCATTAGGGGCAAGTTTCCGGCCAGTCGTGGGAGTATCGTGGTGGTGAGTGTGATTAGTGGAACGTTGATATTGACTAGCTTGGTTGTGATTTTGGTGGCTGGGGCGGGGGCGTGGGAGAAGTGAGGATCGGACTGGGGGTTGGGGGTTGGGGGAGGGAGAAAGAATGGAAAGTTTCGGCATGGACAAAGGGAGCGTTGTGTGTATTATTATAGGCACGTCGAGATAGGGGAAGACTGAAAGGTGGACTTCATGGTGGGTATCTCGAATGCTTCTTTGATTCATGGCATATTGCTCTTCCATCTCGCAGATATGCAGGTATATAATCGCCATGTTCGTCATGTAGCGACGACATCATTCGTCGTGGCGCATAGCGCGTTCATGATCTTTGTAATTCGTCTTCAAATCATCCAAGTTGCCTCCTTACATCTCCCCCGCACGCTGTTATTTGCGTCACTCTTGTAGTCTACACATCATTCACGTGCTTCCTGTAATCATCTCCGTCATCTCCTGTGTGCTCTTGCCCGCTCTCGAGCTCTTGATGATGTTCTGGATCATCTCCTCGACCGCATCCCAGTCGCTCGTGTCAATGGGGTAAAGATCTGTCTTGAAATAGTTTGCAATGTCGTGAAGTTGTTGCCAGCTCTGCTTGTCGTGCACGAAGGTAAGGGCTACGCCGACACGTCCGAATCGACCGGTCCGACCGATGCGGTGCAGGTAGGTCTCGGGGTCTGCTTGGCGGCCATCAGCCATGGTCGGGACGTCCTGCAACCAGTCAGTATGGCTCCTCTTTGGTGGTCACACGGACTGTGTAAACGTACATAATTGATGACCATGGTGACCGACTGCACATCGATACCACGGGCAAGGACGTTTGTTGTGATGAGGACCTTTGCTTCTCCAGATCGGAATTGATCAATGATGCGATCACGTTCAGGGCCCTCCATAGCTCCACTGAGTTGTGCAACCTTGTGGCCTTCTGCGACCATGCGAGTCTCGAGTTCCTCAGCGGTCCTCCGTGTCTACTGAAGTCAGTGTGACGCTCTCCATTCACTTGGTGGATGTACTGACCCTGACGAAAATGATGGATGACGCTTGTGTCATGAGACCGTAGAACTTGAGTAGCGTGGCGTACTTGTCGTTGTCCTGGTCAATGTCGATGTAGAGTTGCTTGATACCCTCAATAGTCAACTCGTCGTGCGCCAGCGTAATGACGTTAGCATTAGGTGCAAAGCGGTTGGCATATGAAATGACGTTGGGAGGAAATGTAGCTGAGAAGAGAACGGTCTGAATGTCCTTGTTGAGTAGTGACTTGACACGCGTGCACTGCTCGCCCATACCCTGTTGGTCCAGCATGTTGTCGGCTTCGTCGAGAACGAGAATTTTGATGTGCTTTGGGTTGATCAAGCGGCGCTTGAGCATGTCCTGGGCTGTACCTGGCGTACCGACCAGAATCTGGGCATTGAACTGCTGACCGCGCCTAGATGGGTCGGGGATAGCTGCCATGGTCTTCAAGCCGTCCATGAACTGGCCCATATGCGTAATGACACCCAAGATTTGTCGCGCAAGCTCTCGGCTAGGTGCGAGTGCCAGCGCCTGAGGTTCGGGGTTGGACAGGTCGATGCGAGAGAGGATGTTGAGCGAGAAGGCCGCCGTCTTGCCTGTGCCCGACTGTGACTGCGCAATCATGTTGGTAGGCGGTTGCATGAGAAGAAGCGGTAGGGCTCTCTCCTGGATCTTGGAGGGCTTGCGGAAGTTCATATGGCGGATGCCCTTGAGCAGTTCCTCGGAGCTGCAATGGTCAGTTGGTCGGTGAGCGCAAGTGGGGGACATGGGCACAAGGCTTACAGCTGGAGCTCTTCGAACGATTTGGCAGAGAAGAGGGGGTTGTTGGGGTCAGCCTGCAAGTCTGCCAGCTTGACCTCGACCTTGTACTCGGCCTCTGCCAAAGTCGAGCCGTTGCCTGGTGGTCCACTGCCGTCTACCTGAGTTTGCGCCAGCGACTCATCCTGTGCAGGCGTTGCCTCTGTCTGCTTGTCCTGCACAGGCGTCTCTTTTGCGGGCGGCGCTTCCGCTGAAGACATGATTGTGGGCGCTTGAGTCGACGGTTGTGAGACTGGTGGGAGTGGGGTCGCGGTGAGTATGAAGTGGCAGTGGTGGTAATGTTGTTGTTGCTGCTTTTGACGAGTTTGTGAATATCGGTAAATGCAGTTGTAGTGGGGAATCAGCTACCGTTGGTGTAAGGCGGGAATGGGGCGCGTGAAGGAAGCTGGGTGTAGACAATCAGCGTAGTGGGAGTTTGTTGTCTAGCACAAAGCAACGCGAAATTGCGGGAGCCTTGCCTTTGAGGTTCACTTCACTTTTGGCGGGGCATCTACTGCATTAACCGCTAGGCCTATTTGGGCCGGTGAACTGCATGACCAGCAACTGCACAGCAACTTGCTGAAGAGCATCTTCTTGGACACAAACTACATCCAGGCCCTGCTTAGACACGCGGCTAAGGCGTCTATAGGTATTGCTTGTCCCACGCGTCTCTACCACCTCCACCACCACCAACAACCACACCAACCACAACAATAAACAGCAGCACAACAATCATCGAGTTACAGTACCAACAAGAAAGACGTCACGCCAGCGATCCCGGCCTTCCCATCCTGGGCGTGCACCGCCGCGCATGTCAGCCATCGTGCGGCCTGCGTTGCCCCACTAATTGGGTAGCTGGTAACAGACCGCGTATTAGTCTTCGCCAATCCACCTCTTCTAGAAACCAGGACTCAGGAGAAACACATCTTGAATCTTCCATGTCTGGGGCGCCAATCTCCGCTGTCCACGTCCTCGCCCTGCCGTCTGAATGAGCAGCATGGAAGTCGATATTGCGCCCCAGTTCGGCGCGGAATTGAAGGTAACATGATGTGGACACGATGCGCGGCCCCTTACCCCCCCTCCCTGTACAGCCAGAACTGACGCATACTTCACAGGATGGTTTCAAGAACGTCAACGCCTGGGTACGTCCCCAACATGCGCAACATCCTTTGGACACATACAGCACCGATATCCTCCATTGACCGCGCGCCCCATCGCCATGCGCCCAGCGACCTCCGCTAACACATGCGTCGACAGGTCTCGGGTGGCATCAACTGGCTGGACGACATCCAGCAATTCTACCGAGAACGCAGCGCTATAGAGAAGGAGTACTCGGCCAAGCTCAGTGCGCTCGCCAAAAAGTATTATGAGAAAAAGGCAAAGAAAGCGAGCAGTCTGAGCGTTGGCGAAACGCCCACAGTGACTCCGGGCTCGCTGGAAAGGTACGCAGATACAAAACAACGGCATGTCTGAATGTCTATTGATGCCGTTGCAGCGCTTCCATGACCACATGGGGAGTCCAACTAAGCACTCTTGAATCTCGAGCCTCTGAGCACGAACAGTTCGCCGGCGCCCTAATCACCCAGCTGGCCGATCCTCTCAAGACGCTTGGTACGCGCTACGAAGAACTCCGGAAACTGCACGCCGATTATGCCGCCAAGTTGGAGAAGGAGCGGGACGGACAGTACGCCGAGTTACGCAAACAAAAGGGCAAATATGACAGCGTCTGCCAAGAGGTTGAGAGTCGCCGCAAGAAGGTCGACGGCGCATTCGATCATGGCAAAAACAAAGCAAGGAACGCTTTCGAACAGCAGCAAGTCGAGATGCGCAATGTCAAGGTATCTTGGGTGCATGCGTCTTTTGGTCATGCACCGCTAACCCAAGTAGAATACCTATCTCATCAGTATCAACGTGACCAACAAGCAAAAGCAAATGTACTACCACGAGTATGTGCCCGAGTTACTGGATGTAAGTAGGATTACTTTAATGCCGTGTATCCGTCGCTAAATTCGACAGAGTCTACAAGATCTTTCAGAAACAAGAGTCAACAAGCTGAACTCCATCTGGTCTCTGGCGGCAAGCATTGAGACGCAAACACTCACACGCAGTACCGACTATCTAAAGCACCTATCAGCCGAGATTCCTCGCAATAACCCTTTGCTCGACTCTATGATGTTTGTGCGACACAACGCTGGCCCATGGCAAGAACCGGGCGACTTCCAGTTCGAGCCCAGTCCAGTCTGGCTTGACGACAATAGCATTGCAGTCGACGAGTCAGCTACCATATTCTTACGCAACGTCCTCATGAAGACCAAGGCTTCGCTGGGCGACTATCGGCGCGAGCTAGACAAGAAACGCAAAGAGGTGGAAAACGCAAAGGCCATCCGACAAAAGATTAGGGAAGGCAAAGACAAGCGCGATGAAGTGGATGTGGTGCGCGCTGTTTTTGCAATCCAGGAGGCTACGCATGAAGTCGAGAGACAAAAAGTCAGCGCCGAAGTGGAGGTTTCAACCATCACCTCTGCAGTAGGTGACCTCAGTATCGGAGCTAGAAACCACAACTTCAAGTCGCAGACCTTCAAAATACCTACGAATTGCGATCTCTGTGGTGACCGAATTTGGGGCCTATCTGCAAAAGGGTTCGATTGCAGGGATTGTGGGTACACCTGCCATAGCAAATGCGAAATGAAAGTTCCGGCAGATTGCGTCGGTGAGCAGACCAAAGAAGAAAAGAAGAAATTAAAAGAAGAGCGACAAAAGGCTGCTCATACGGTGACGAGCACGAATGGAGCTGCAGCAGGCTCACATTCTGATTTGCCAAAGTTAGGAAGAAGCGATACGGTCAACTCAATGAATACGCTCAGCTCGGGCTACTCTGCGACAGCACATAGATCAGTAACGGGCACCATGTCTCCAACAGCTGAAGAGGCCCCTGTAGAAAAGAAGGCTTCAGCATCCACCCCCGGCTCCAGGAGAAACCGGATCATTGCCCCTCCACCAGCACAATACGTCAAGCCCGATGAAGACGCCGGCGCACAAACACCCAAGGGTACAGAAGTAAGAGGTAGAATGCTTTTCGCGTATCAAGAGAATGGGGAAGGTGAGATAACCGTCGCCGAAGGCAGCGATGTCGTCATTCTGGAGCCTGATGGTACGTCTCCCGCGCTCTCTCCCATGTTTGAAGTCCTACTGGGTTTAAAAAGCCGCGCGCGCTCACATGACTACTTAGACGGCTCTGGGTGGATCAAAGTCCGCGCTGGTTCAAGAGAAGGCCTCGTTCCTACGTCCTATGTTGAAGTCCTGCCAGCGACACCACCCACTACGGCGTCTACATTCAGTTCAAACCGCCCGGATTCGACGTACTCTGCTAGTTCGGCGAGCACGTCAAATTTCACGGCAGGTGCGGCGGCAGCGGCGGGAAAGAAGAAGGGCCCTGCTGTTGCACCAAAAAGGGGAGCAAAGAAGTTGAAGTATGTCGAGGCATTATATGGTTATACTGCACAGAGTGATGCGGAGCACTCCATGGCGGAGGGCGATCGTTTCGTCCTTATCAATATGGACGCTGGCGATGGGTGGGCAGATGTAGAAAGAGAGGGTGTGGTCAAGAGTGTACCAGCAAACTATATCCAGCAAGTGTAGGCATCTTGTTTGGCGATTGTACAGGAGGTGGACATTGTCTAGGCTGGTGGATCTCTGCACGTTGTGCATTACAGAGTCGGCGCACCAGCATCGTCAGTATAGCCAAACAGACAGGAATTTGTATATATCCTACAGGACAGAATATTCATCATCACTATCACCCCCGCTCCTATCAACTGGCGACGCAACGAGGCGACGTCTGATTACAGCACGAGCTGTATGTAGAATGCCGTGATACACTTTATGCAGCACGCTGCTGTGGTAGAACATGCCAAGTAGGCTAGCGCTCAAGGGGTTCATCTTATCACGTCGTTGATCACATCTACCTACCACCTTCTTCCACTACGACGTCACTTCTCATCCCACCAAAGTTTGTGATGGGCTCTTGTTTTCTTACATGGTTTGGAGAAGCTAGTTAGCGTGGCACTTTATACTTTTATACCTTCTACCAGCTTACAGGGCTTACCGGTACCATATCCAGCGGAAGATCATTGGAGTTGTGTTACAGATCTAATGGCGAAATCACGGCGTCCATGGCTTTGTTGGCAGTGGGTACAGTGATTCGGGTTGTTGTTGCCAGACCTTATTACTGTGTGCCTCTCGTGAGCAAGCAGCTCTTGTCTATGAAGAGAACGAAAGCGTGTTGGCCGCCGAATTTACCGAGGAGGGCATCAAGGCATCGGATCCAGAAACAGTGATTGCATGGGCACATTTGTACTCATTCACTAAAAGAGACGGAAGAGCTGGATCACCTCACCTCCCGGGAACTATTCTGGAAATCAGCCGACCATTGTCCTGCTTCGCTTGTGCCACATTCCTACCTGGTAGAATGTGCGCTTGTGTTGGTTGCCAGGGGTCCATGTTACACAACGGCACCGACTAGAGCTTCCTAGGAGCTTGTGCGCAGAGCAAGGCCATGTGTAGAGACGGCCATCTTGATGTCTCGAGCCGTCCAGCCGAAACTTTCCACGCCGTTGGTGCTGGGGCCACTGAGTACTGTTCAGTCTTGCGCCTTACTACCGACATGTGTACCAGCGCTAGAAGCAACGCTCACGCTGAGATTTAAGCAATTCCTCTGGATCCACGTATGTGCCACAGGCCGGAGTACGTTTTGACTACTTGACAAACACAATGGCGTCACAGGGGTCAAGATTCCAATCGTGAATCGTCCTAGTCTCTACCATCGGGGAGATATATCCCAATGCGATTGCTAGTCACTATGCGCATTGCACTGCAGTGACAATCGCCCTTGATGTCGCGCACTCATCCATTCACTACTTCTCGTCTGCGAGTCGAAACAAGTCTGCACCCTCTCAGCGCTTTTTGCCCATGCTTTGCGTCTATTTTGGAAGTCCAGAGAAGTAACAGCCCAGGAAAGGAGAACACCAAGTTATCAAGGGGAATTCTAGACCGAGGTATGCACATTCTCTCGCTCACTGCGCCTTCCTGTGCGAATATGGCAACCACGCTAGTGGACCCTTCCCTTGGCATGCATGCCATACAAACAACCCAACACGTCCTTGCTCTCATCTCTGGCACCCGTGGACCCAGTGCGACTCTCGCTGCAACAACTAATATCAGGTTTGAATCAGTTGCCCTCAAACTCCTACCTCCATTCTTCCGAGCGTCCTCCTGGAGCTCTATCTCCATCATACTCATCAGACTATCAACGATACATTTCCACTGTTCCTCATTCCAGTCGCGGCTGCGCGCAAAACAAACAAACAGACAAGCCGAACGACGAGGATCCTCGCTTCACCTTACAGCTTCCAGGTCCTGAACTTCGGACTCGGTGGAATACAGCTGTAGATATACGCAGGTGAGTTGCTCTTCACACGATACACGCCCCTGTGTCACTGGTTCATAACAGACGTTGCAGGACATAAAGAAGGACTTCAGCGCAAGAAGGAGCAGCATTGAACATGAAACTCCAAGATATTGCCATCATAGCTGCGCTTGTGGCAGGTGTCGCTGCGACGCCATACTCGTTGAGGCACCGTCACGCTCACGGACTGATCAAGCGCGAGCCGCGACCTGACAATGTCGCCTATCTACCTGCCGCCACTGTCACCAGCATCGTCTACTGGCTGGATGATCACTCGATCTCAGAGGAGGAGGTTCGCCAGGGCATTGCTAACGGCACTCTTATCTGGGGAGATGATGGTGTCTTATCCACTTCAACGAGCAGCTCCGTTGTTTTGGAAACGCCCGCACCGGCCTCAGAGTCGCAGGCATCAGTAACACAAGAGGTCCCACAGCCCCAGACTGTGCAGCCGGAAACCTCCGCGTTGCCTGACCCCCCCTCATCCCTAACACCACCTGCAACGGAAGCCGAGCAGCCATCAAGCGACCCCGCTCCAAGTGCTTCTCCGAACTCGCCACCACCAACACAGTCGGATGGGTCTTCCCACAACCGGGCTGACCTGGTCGATCAGAATGGTCACTGCTCATCGTGTGACAAAGAGTTCCCTAACAATAAGATTCCGTGTAATGAGTTCCCGTATGGATATGGTGCTCTCCCCATTGCACATGAAGGCTTGGGTGGCTGGTCGGGTATCCAAGATCCTCAGTATAGCGGAAGCGATGGCTTCGACGACATTACCACCATCGTCAAAGGCTCATGTTCAGAAGGATCGTGCTGTACGGCAGGCAGGTTCTGCTCCTATGGCTGTCCAAACCCGTACCTCAAGCTTTCGTTTCCCAAAAAACAGGGGCGTACCGGCCAGTCTGTGGGTGGCTTGTTTTGTAACAACAATGGCTACCTGGAGATGGCAGATGGGTCGCTCGGTAAGACCTTATGCGGCCAGTCTTCTTCAAGCATGACTGTCAGAGTTCAAAACAACCTGTCGAAATCAGTCTCTATCTGCCGGACAGACTATCCAGGTGACTCACACGAGCGGAGGAAATGTACGCAAACTGACGTGGAACAGGCACTGAATCAATGACTTTCCCACTCACTCTTGGCCCTGGTCAAAGTGGTTTCCTTGCCAGTCCTGATCAGGGCAAGTACTACTTCTGGCAGGGTAAGGCAACTTCGGCGCAATATTATGTCAACAAACAAGGAGTCTCTGAAAGTGACGCATGTACGTGGGGTAAGCCGATGGGTGGCGTAGGCAATTGGTCGCCCACCATCCTCGGCACGTCTTGGGACGATGTCAAAGCGAATGAAGGCTTCACTAGTCTCTTCCAAAACACTGAGAGCCCGAATGAGAGGCTGGACTACGATATCACGTTCACTGGCGATGGCGTCGTCTCGCCTTGTGCTTATAAGCGAGCTTCTGGCCAGTACTGTCAGGGCAGTAAATGCTCCGATGACATTAAAGGTGGCTGCACCGTAAGTTCTCCCCCCCACACACATATACATACACATGCAGTAAACTAGCAGCTGCTGACCCCCACAGGCTGCTATTAAACGCGGAAGCACGGTTCTCATCACCCTGTCTGATGGGTGATCCGGAAAATCTCGGCATTAACAGGCGCATATCCCGCAAGCACTTTCTTTTTCTTCTGTGTTGAACTCTAGATCTCGGTGTCCCACGATGATCTGACTATTCTATTCTCAGATTACGTCTTCTCACGAAGACGGGACATTGTTCATACTTTTGTCATTTCGTCCTGCCCTTGTTTTACGATTTCTTGGAGGAGCGAATTTTGGAGAGAGAGATGCATATATTCACGGCGACATTCCCAAGCAGGTATACCACCCGATATTGTGATGGGGACGATGGATACCGACGTCATGGATTTATACGATGTTTACGGAAGATCTCTCCCTTTGTAGATAGCCTTTCATTTCTGTTCCGGCTTCAAGCGAACAAGCGCCAGAAGCATTTGTGCGATTTGGACACATGTACCTATTGGAAAGCGATCGGTTGGAGAAGCCCCCGGTCATTTCTTGTTTTTTCTTTTCGAATTCTAGTCCATGACCTGTGTGTGTGGAGGCCAGGCGTTTAAGCTATCCTGACTAGTCGTTTTCTTTGATCAACGCACTACTATCCGATTGTCATGAGCGGCCCTTGTGCATCCACTAACAAACATGGGGGCCCCAACATATCACCTTATCAGCTGCCTAGAGTAGACTACACACAGACATGCAGAACGTAGATGCCCACCACACACAACGAGCCAAGCATGTGAAACATTTATTTCTGTAGGAGTGGGAAAACGCTGCTAACCAAAGGTTCTTTTCCGCATTTCAAAACAAAACATGCAATAATATGCAGTGCTGCCATCCCATAAGTAATGCAAAAAAAGGGGGTATCGTATCTCTCTTTCTCTCTCGTGTTCTCTGTTTGTATCCCTTCTCTTCACTCTGCACACGCCTACTCTCCTTCATGATTCACGTGCGCCGCCCATCCATCCCTGTTATGCAGGCACTGTAAGAAAGTGGAATCCCTCCCTCTTCCCCCCCAGCCAAACCCAAAGAGTATAAGAAAAACAAACAAGGCAAAAAGACCAGGGGGGGAGAAAAGCCCAAGAAAAATCAAAAGGTTGATTCTTTGCCGTTTGTCGAGATGATAGGTTGGCGTACTGTTACAAGTGCTTTGCATTCGCATTCGCGTTCCGCGTTTCGCGCAGACAGCCGCGCAAAGCGTGGGAAGCGGAGTATAGGGGAAAGCGACGGGGGGGAAAGAATGTACATGGAAGGGTAGCAAGAAGAAAAAAGGAAAGAAAGGAGTAATGGGGGCGCAAGGCGGCCAGCTAGAGTCGTGAAAAAATCAAGGTAGAAAAGGGCTGAGAGTAAAGAACCGAAGAATCATGACACACGCAGATGCACACAAGCACATAAGCACAACAGACAAGCATACACAGGTGTGCTGAATGCGCTTGTGGGGCGCCTGACGGAGTGCTGGGCGGGGGGCGGGGAGGGGACTAGGGGCGCTAGATACGCCTCGTGCGTCGTGTGCATGTGGTTACATGTGCGCGTGTGAGGGAAAGTTCTGTGTGTGTGGTTGTGTGTGAGGGTGGTGTGTGACTTTTACTTGGTAGTGTGGAGTGGTGCCATGCCAAGAAGAGAGGTTTCATTAGAAGCGGGTAAAGCGTCGCCTAGAGGGGAGGGGGGAGGGGCAAGGCCTAGGGCCCTTTTTTGGCCTTCCTTCCGTCACAAAACCACCAAATGAGACCGCGTCAAGGACATGTTACTGCTGCTGGTTGGGCTCTGGACCAAGGGGTGGCGGCGTGCGGGTGGCGGGAAGGGGAAGGATGCGGGATGGGCGACAATTTCCGCTTCTGGGGGATTTTAGGGTGGGTATGAATTCGTTTCTCGTGCGGTCAGGCTTTCAGCGCTTGGTGTTGTTGTGGTTGTGGTGGTGATGGTGGTTGCTTCAAGGGAATGCGCGGGGGTGTAAATTTACTATCGCATGATGATTGTTTTTTATGTGATTCGTCATGTCCCCTTTTACTTCATTCATGTTGGCGCTGATGCGTGAAATTGCATGAAGTCTGCCGCTGCTGCCGCTGCCGCTGCCGTGGACTCGTTCAGGTTGAGGTTGGGATCCGCAGTGTATTCCGGAAAGTTGTCATGCTCGTTCATGATCGGCTCGTCGAGATGCAAACCATTGTGGCCGCCGTGGGTGAGACAGCCCATGCAGGCGCAACCGTCGCTGCATTGACATGTACCCGTTGCGTCGGAACAGCTGGGTAGCGTCATCTGGTTCCAGAAGTATGATGATGGGGATAGTGTCGAAGTGTCGTCCTCTCGGCTACCATCACTGGGGCTTTCAGCGATCGGTGTAGTCCTTCCCTCTTCCACCTTTTGCGGCGTCTGGCCTTCCATGGGGCTCGCCAGCGTATAACTGCCTGGCTCCAAATAACGAGATCCCTGCATCGCTGTCACAAGGACAGGCGGTCTTTGCCAAGGTCCCGAGTAGGGTATCGCTGCATGGGGTAGAATCGACATCTCCACATTTGGTGGGTAGTTCATCCGCGTAGGTGTAGGGGCCGCCATCGTCTGTGATATAGCTGGATAATTCACTGGTTGATTGGCTTCAGCGCCAAACCCTGGGTGGTGGGGGTACGTCGGCATGTCGTACAGAGGAGGAGACATGGTTCCAAAGCCACCAGTGTATTGGAACTGGGCCATCAGTCGTACGTATTCCATCATGGTCGCGTTATCGGGGTGGGCAGCGCATCCAAAACAGCTACATGAATCTCCACAGTGGCAATTGTGTTTGGGAGCTTGTTGCCCGCCAGGAGCGCTGGCGTGCGAGGGAACTGCGTTCATTGGTATTGATACGGGCGGAGGTGGAGGTGGAGGTTGTTGGTGGTATGCTGCGGCTGCGTGATTGTAAATTGGAACACCGAGAGTGTATGGAAGGCCTGCCGCTGACGACACATGTTGCTGGAATTGGCGAAAGTGCGGGTTTGGTACTGGAGGTTGGGTCTGAAACTGGAATTGCTGTCCGTAATGTGGATATGCGGAGGGTTGCCGTACCGTGTTGGCTGGAACGCTTGAACCAGCGCAACATGTCTTTACCGGCGCGGATTCAGCCTGAGACTGCTTTTTGCTGCTGTTGTTGTTGCTGCTACTACTACAACAATTCGCTTTCGGTATTGATGGCAGTTGTGATTTTTGTTTGCAACAGCTTGAAGCACCTTCATTTTGCAGGGGTAGTATGTGAGGCGTCGAGCTTGCACTGGATGGTGGCGATGCTTCATTACTTGCGCTTTCCTCGGTTGGAGTGCGTATAGTCGAAGAAGTGTCTGTTTCCGTGTCCTGGCCTATTCGCAATGCCTTTTCCAGTGAAGCCGTGTTAACCGCAGATCTTCTCCTGGGCTTCTGGATACGGCTGTTACCGACAACGGTTGCAGTAGGCTGTGCACGCTCCGCTGGGCAGGCGCATTCCGAAGCCTTGGGGATCGTGTAATTGATAACAACACGTTCACAGCTGCATGAACCGCTTGGGTGGGGGCAGCTGCTTAATGGACGACCAGGTTTCCGAACTTCCACCAGGACTCGGTCTCTGTGGTCGCATTTTGAAGACCGATGGCCTCGAATGCAGGGACCACTAGAACATGTTAGTTATCATGACGAAGACCTGGAGACCACCCCGCCCCCCGCCTCCCCTCCTCCTCAAGATAAATGACCCAAGTAAGATTCAAGAACATCTCAGAATGGACCCCTCCAAGCGCTATGGAATATCGCTCTGAATTCGTGCGCTGATCTGGCCCGAACCTGTCATGCATCCAGGCAAAGTGATAGATTGAAGAGAAGTCGAGTGGAGAAAAGAAAAGGCCAGTTTAGGGGCAAAGAGGCGACAGTGTGAGGATGTTGGAGAGAGAAACTGAAGGGAAGGTAGGTGTTCACTTACCAGGCGACTTTCTTGCGCTCTCCATCGACCTCGGCCCACATACTGCAGGGCTAGAATGAAAGCAGGAAAACTTGCTCAAGGCGCAAGGGAGGAACTTGTCAGAACGGCCGGGTGTCGGTGAGAGTGAGTAAGGTAGTTGATGGCAGTGAAGGTAGTGATAACCTCACGGCACAAGGCGCACGTGGAATTGTGTTGCGAGGGGTCCCAGTGGCGCGTTTGACAGGATCCGACCTTCGCGACGGGCTAGACAGGCGATCCTGGTCGAAGGGCAAAGTGATGAACTGGGCTCGATCGAGGTCAGCTGTAGGCGTGGACCCAAGCGGTTGAAGATTGAAAGAGCTGGTGCAATCGCGAGCCTGGGCCGTGCGATGCAAGAAAGGGTCCAGTCGGTTGCCGCGTGGCTGGATAGGACGAGAATTGGGGAGTTGCCGACGGCCGCCCGCAGAGTTGGCTAAAGCGCTGGTGGGTTGCTGGTTGCAAAAGCAGTTTCGGACTGGGGGGAATCGAAAGTCGAGCCAGGCTTGGAATTGGTCTCCCACTGGCTCTTCAGGCTGCGCCGTAGTGACGGCAACAAGCAGTTGGCGTGGGAATAGGGCGGAGACGTGGCTGATGCCTTTGGCTGGACGGTCAGCCGACAAAGATGGATTGTCTTGTGTGTGAGAGCAAAGGACCCTTGGGACTTGAGGCCTTGGGCGTGGGATGAAGCGAGTGGCAGCCTAGGTATCCTTGGAATGCAGACTCCAACTAGCCCTCCTCTTCCGCCCTATCGCTTGAGAGTTCGGGAGTCAATGTCAAGGCGGTAATGCGCGGGATATTGCTGGTCGGCTGTCTCAAGGTAGTGTTGGTGAATTGGATGCGACGTCCGTCAAGAAGATGGATTAGGTTAAGCGTGGTTTAGCGTTGAGCAAGTTTCTTACTAAGACACCTGCCGCCGCCGTTGGATGGCTTCACCAGGCCGAGCGAGGGGTTGGCAGGGGAATGGTGCGCAGACAAAGGAGCGTCTAGAGTAGTATTAAAGTAGACCTTTGTCCAGTCGATGCATCGCCGTCCTGCCCACCAAGCCTTTCACCCTCCTCGACCTGGGATCCGTACGAGGGGCGGGCGAAATTGCCCTGCGTCGGACGGCTGCCATGATCGAAACAACAGTGAAAGTGACCCCGTGGCCGGCCAACGCTACGATGAAGCCAGCAGCCAGGATGCGGCCAGGTGGGGAATTGGATTCAACAACGCGAACGGCGCGGGGGGTGGTTGGGGGGAGAGAGGGGGCCGATCAGGTGAGTACCGCAATAACTAAGTTCAGTAGACAGTCTTTTGTCTATCGAACGGTGATATTGCACAGGAGAGAAGGTGGTCAAACACGAGGAAGGGGATTGTCATCTTACATACAGACTACCGCCGGTTTTTCAGATTCTTTGGAGCGCGTGATGGCTGGCTGAATCTACTGCTGCAAAAATAAAAGATACTTTCTGCTGAATGGATCGAGCCACACAGGCATAGGACCACCGGTACCGGTACCTACCAACTACCTAGCAGCTACCATATGTACCTATGTGTTATGAGATTTGTTGGCAAAGCAAGCCACATGTGTGTGGCGCTGGTTCTCAACGAATATGGATGCTAATACCGCATGCAATATGGGTGGTATCTATTGACTCTATCTTACCATATACCTACATAGTACCTATGTCAGTGGTTCACTGCCCGTGACTCGAGTGAGCAAGATATTGTCACGTGACGGGCTGACGGACCGAGCACTACGCATTCTCAGGCTCTAGCGCCGGAGGAAAAGTGGGATGTTCGTCTTCACGTATGATTAACCAAACAATAGCAAACCTTCCTCTTCACTCAGGGCTCCGTAGTAAGATTGCAACTCCTATTAGAGAGTTAGCGTAGTTAAATATAGTATTACAATTTTCTAGCTAAAATTGATTTTTTTGGGCATGCTCAGAACGTTTGTTGTTTGTCCATCCCTCGGTCCACTATCACTAATATCCCACTTCTCCGTGTGAGAGCCAGGAACCAAGGCGAGTCGTGCCTCAGTGTGGCAGTGTGGCGTGTGCCCTCTGTGGCTGGTGACACTAACTTGAACTGAACCACTTAGAGCCTGTCCAAAATAATTCAACTCCAGTCACCGCACTTCACCGTCAAGCTTCGTCTTCCTCATGGATTCAGATGCAGACGAGGAGGGTTTAACCCTCTTCCAGGAGCCAGCGGGTTTTTACGAGTCTGAGAAGCAGGCTACTTTTGCCACCCATCGACTGCTGACTGGAGAGGAGCTCAAGTTTCGCTTGGTGGGCCACAATCCGCTGTGGGTGAGCAGTCCTCCTTCCTCATATGGTACACATCGTACCCAGCCTACTCCACACCACGTGACTTTTCTGTTATTATTGCATTGAATAACTATAATTGCATATTTCCACGTCTTCGGGGGGGTGTCTCTGTGTCGAACAAGGACTAATCCTTTGGTGTTTTCAGCCGACTTCCCACGGGCGTACATGTAGCTGACTGACAATTGCAGGGCCATCTCGTCTGGAATGCAGGTCGAACGATATCGACATACTTGGAAGAGCATGCACAAGACTTGGTGCTGGATAAGACGGTACTTGAGCTTGGCGCTGGGGCAGGACTACCTAGTCTTGTCTGTGCTCTCAATGGTGCCCGCCAGACAGTCGTCACAGATTACCCTGATGCTGACCTCATCGAAAACCTACGCTACAATATTGCTCATTGTAACCTGTTACCCAATCCCCGCAAGATTGTGGCCGAAGTCTGTACTAGCTCTCTCAAGCCTTATACGATGTTTCTAACAAAGCCCATAGGGTTACCTTTGGGGCGCCTTGACTGAGACAGTCACTAGACATCTACCACAGGAGCAACATTTTGATGTACTCATCCTCGCGGATTTGCTGTTCAATCACTCGGAGCATACCAAATTGATCAGGACCGTCGAGCTGACGCTCAAGAAGTCACCTGATTCGAGAGCCTATGTCTTCTTTACCCCCTATCGACCGTGGCTTTATGACAAGGACATGGCTTTCTTCGATCTGGCACGTGAGGCTGGCTTCACAGTCACCAAGACGTTTGAAAAGGTCATGGATGAGGTGTTATTCAAGGAAGACCCAGGTGTAAGTCATGCTCGATGTCCTTTCTTACTAGCTGCTAACGCTCCACAGGATGAACTCCTTCGTCGTACTGTTTTTGCGTACGAACTCAGCTGGGGAGCCTGAGAGGCGAGAGGCCTCACTGTCCAGGGTTTCGCGGGATCTATCCCAATCCTGCATCACAATGTCGCATAGACGGTTGTAGACCCGCCCACAGGCCCAAGTGGTCAGTATGAGTCTCAATAACCTCTTGGTCACCAATGAGCGGCGGCAAGCGCATCGAACGAGCCGGCGCCCCGTGCATGCTATGCCGGAAGACACTGTGTTTGTGCCAGAGATCTGTATGGTACTGCAGCAGATCTTTAGTGTTTTTTTTAACATTCGAACAATGTCACGACGCTAGTTCGACACGCATAATACTATAAATTCTGCCATACTTGCTCACTGTACTCTGATGAGACAGCAGCATCTCCGCACGTCATCCTTGTGCAACTTTCGACTATCGAAACTATTTAAGAGTAACACTTCTCAATCACAACTATGGTTCTGTCATCACCAACTTTTCCGCGAACATATTTTCAAGTTCCTACGGTAGCAGTTCACATGTGTGACCAACGAAAGCAATATGACCAGTGTGTCAGTTACGTACCGCTATCTGTACTTGAGCACTATGCACCTCACATATGTCACTTGATCGAACCAGACATCCTGCTAAATCGATACCGCCTCTTTATACGCCTACCACTGCACGATCATGTCGAGGATATCGAATGGGCAGGTCTCTACCGCCTCCTTGCCCACTGGAACCACGCCGCTGCTAACATGATTGACACACCCCTTCCCCCCACAAACTCAGTCAGTGATGCCATCAAAATATACCGCTCTCTCCAACTTATGCTCAAGCCTGAAGCCGAGACACTACGTAGTCGCATCATGCACACCTTACACACCACACCTCTCACAGAACTAGATGTACAGACCATATGGTGGGCATTTCAGGCTAAGCCCGAGTGGCCTTCCTGGCTCGATGCGCTTTGCTACAATCTCGTCCGGTTTCAAGTGTTGAGCGGCCAGCCTTGCGGTACGGCAATTCAGCTCTTCATCGAGACGGAAATGCTCAACATGGACAATGCTCAATACTGTCAAGTGCTGGTGGCCTATGAACGGCATGGTCTGGCAACTCGTTCTCGTGTGCGGACGACGGTGTCCCGATGCGTCGAGCGTTCATTTTGTCGCTTCCAGGCTCGCTCATGAAGGAGCAGTGCAGCCTCGGTGCGTCTACTGTTCTGGGTCGCGGTGACTTTGTCTCGGGTAGAACATCAAGTGTCCGTTTTTTTTTTCTAGAAAATTAATGGGTTTCTCTCTTCATACGACGGTACTATCTTACATTATAAATCTCATCACCAACGACAGTCTCATGACATTCATTCTGCAACATTACCCTACCGCCCACATCCCCTACATTACAGTGAGACATGACCAACAACACACACCATATTATTATCTCAGCAGTCCCATAGTCCAACTTGCTCCCAGCCCATCTCTCCTATCGCACACCCCAACACTCCATCCCACCACCCTCGAAAGCCCCTACATCATCAGCCCACAAGCCACCACACCCTATGCCAACCGAGCCTCTCACTACACCCGCACCATGCAGTATTCACCCATACCGCAGGTGAGTCATAGGAGCACAAGCAACACCCACAAAGGTTAAACTCCGCCTCTGCTTAGCGCTTCTAGGGTACGAGGTAAGGCAATTTGTGATGTACAAACGCACGGAGGAGGTTCGTAATGTATAAATGCTACAAGAGGTGGGGGTTCTTATTGCTTTGTTTGTGATTTTGACTCAGACTCAAATCCAGACGTGAACTCCTCGGGCCCATGTATCTCCCCTTCTGTAAACCATACATATGATTTCAATTCTTGGCCCGTGGACTTCGCATGCCCTGCTCATGCACTTCCTCTTCTTCCTCCAGATTTCTTCAAACCCAAGTCTTAACTCCTAACTCCCCCAACCCTCCCTCTCTCCCTTCTCCATCCCACCAGCGCGCCCAGAACTCAGCGCACAAAAAAAAACTCCCTTCGTGCCATACACGCTCGGAGATTCCATTTAAACAAAGAAAAGATCCACTGGAGATTGGACATTTCAGTCAGGACGATGGGTGCAAATATGTACTCATTCATTCATTTTCATTCATTCAAATATTCGTCTGTGAGAGGAAAGCGCAAGGGGAAATGGTACAGGTTAAAGAGTAAAGGGAAAGAGCGCCATCACCAAGCTGCCCAGAGGTCCTGTGGTGGGTAAAAAACAAACAGGGGGGAATGTATGTAAATAGACAAGAAGGAGTCCCAGAAATCCGTAAGGGGTAGGGGTAAGGGGGTTTATCAGCTAGCATCCAACAACTACAAGTCCGTCCGGACAACAGATCCGGACATCCCCCCAATCCATTCAAACCCCAAGAAAGAAGATAGAACGCTCGTCACCAAGGAAAACAGGCTTCTTGTGAAGAATAAGAAAAAGCCACAGTCTTTACACAACAACGTTCATGGGAAAAGAGAAGAAGAAAAGAAAAAGGCAAATATGCTTATGTCATCACCAATATTGCTCTACTCAACCAATGCTTCCTCTCGCCTCTTGCCCCTGCTTTTGACCCCTACCCCATCCCCTTGTGACACCTAAACCTCCCCCCACCCCATCACTGCATTCCATTCCAATTCCATTCCACCCCCTATTCGCCCCATGCAATACAAAATCCAACAGTACTTCATCAAAATACAACCAATGTCAAAAAGCCTCAACCCTCGTTTGAAGTGGAAGATGCTTCCTTTTTGGAGAGGAGGGGGTATAAACGTCGCTAGGTGCTTGATGAAAAGAATATGTGCTACTCGTCAAATGTGTAATGCTATTACCGCCACCACCACCGCTCAAAGTGTGTTTCCGCCAATAGGAGCTGGGCAAAATGCCAAGCTATTGGTTATTAAATAGTATAGTGTGCTTTCATGTCGTAGACGCGTTGTTCATTGTTGTTCTAGGGCCTCTATCGCGTTTTCTGCTGGGCGATTAGTGAGAACTGGCAGTATTTGAAAAATTGGGAATACATACAAGGCTCGCTATAGCAGCTGCAGAAGCGAGATCAGGCTTACCTGACACGCTACGCTGCGCTGCTCGCGGGAGGCCACTACCTGTCGAAGGATTCAGTGGGGCTCCGTTGGCTGCCCGCTTAGTTCCCGATGTTCCGCCCTGTATACCTTGCACTGTCGAGTGGCGTCTCGGAGGCGCGTCCGGCTTGTTAGGCGATGCGCTGTTCGAGATGTTGCGGTGCCCGGTGACGGCCGTGCCGTTCTTGAAGCTCGTGGCTGGCGGCTCGGGAAGTGGACGAGCACGTGTTTGTGGCGTCTGTGAAGGTGCGAACCGCTTTGCGGGAGAGGACACGCCTGACGGGCCATTCGGACGTTGGGTTTGACGCGTGTTCCTTCTCACTCCAGTGATGAACTCGTGCTGCATTGCCTCGTCTGGCTTCATGCGGCGATCTGGGTCCCATCGCAGGCATCTTGCGATGAAGTCGAGGAACGCCTCGTCGTCACACTTAAGCGCTTGTTGCAAAGTCTTGGAGCTCGGTCGACGTCGGCGGCCTTTCGTAGAGACCGTGACTCTTGGCTTGCCAAGTGAATCAAAGAAGAGCTTCTTCCTGCTGCTCTTTTCAATCAAATGCTTCTCGGGAGGCCCGAAGATCTCCATGATGCACGCTAGCTGTTCTTGCTCGTTCTCTCCTGGGAATATGGGATATCCTGTGAGAAGCTCTGCGAGGATGCAGCCCAAGCTCCACATGTCGATTGGAAGGCCGTAGCTCATACCAAGAATGACCTCTGGAGAGCGGTAGAATCGCGACTGGATATATGTGTACACCTTTTCTGACTCGAAACAACTTGATCCGAAGTCAATGACCTTGATCTCCGAGTGGAGTGGGTGGGCGAGCAGGATGTTTTCTGGCTTCAAATCGCAGTGAATGACCTTTTTGGTCTTGAGGAGAATCAGTGAAGCCAACATCTGCTTGCAGAAACGCCGAATGAGACGGAGTGAGAAGCCCTTGAACTCGTGCGCCTTGATGAACTCGTACAGGTTCATTCCCAGCAATTCCGTAGAGATGCACAAATGGCCGCGGAAATAGAAGCTCTGCGTGAAATTGATCATACTGTGCTTATTATCAGGGTCCTAATGATCGTTAGCATTATTTCAGATTACAGGTTTGTTGTTAAAAAACTTGCCCATTCGCGCAGTTTCTGGAGGATGTTGACCTCGACCAGAGCTTGTTGATGAAATCGCTTCTTGTTTCGGATAATCTTAATGGCTTCCAGTCCGCCAGTCTTGTGATCTACGCAGCGCACAACCTGACCGAAGCTACCCTTACCCAAGACATCCACGACTTCATAACGATAGGCAAGGTGATCACCCAGCACGATGTTGTAATCGCCTCTTTCATCATCATATCCGAAGTTGGCTGTTGATGCACCCAGATCGCCGACGTGTTTCTTTGCATTCTTCGTCCCGCAGAAGTAGATATCCTTGTAATCGATAATCTCGCCTCTTTCAAAAATGTTCAGGTTGACCATTTGCAACGCTTGCGATGGGCTGACACGCTCCTGGGGCTTGGCGCGCTTGCGTAGCTCATCCACATCTCGCGCAGCATTCTCAAAGTCTTTTCTCTTAGACGCAAGTTTCCGCATTTCCTCGTCAGCTGCCAGGTCCTCTCGGTCCAGATTACTTTCAAGGTTGCGAGCCTTTAACATGTTCGAAGAGCTCTTCGAACCAAGCATGCGCTGCATTGAATTCGAGATTGATGAACTGGTCTTGGGCGCTGGTGGATCAAGAAGTCCAGATAGTGTACGTGTAGCCGTGTTTGATGCAGGCTTGCGGCTAGGTTTCTCAAGCTCGGTGTCACTAGCAACTGTCGCTGTAGATGCTTTCCGACGTCCAAAATCAAGCGACGGGCGTGACCGGCTTGTACCTGTACTCGTGCTTGTGTTCGTGTTCAGCGTGGGACTTGTACCAATGGCACCGCTCCATGTTGCAGAAGCGGGTAGCCGCGGTGGTGGCATATCACCAATTCTTGGAGCCTGCAAAGAAGAATCAGGAGCCTTTTGGGACGGCTTTCGGGATGATTGCGGCTGTGCAGAATGCGATGCAGCTTTAGAAGATGCTCGTCGCCAGCCGCTTAGACTAAGCTTGCGCCGCAGCGAGGAACCCGATGTTGGTGTTTCAGGCTCAGGTTCAGTCGAGGTGTGTGCAGAGTCTGAGGTGTCTTTCTTCTGTAGAGGTCTTGGCCCTGCAACCATACTTTGAAGCTCGAAATCTCTGTTGGGCCTATATTCACCGCTTGGTCGGGCCTGCAGACGGCTGAACTCACCACTACCCTTGGGCAGTGAATTGGAAGAAAACGGCGTGGTTGCTTGGCGCGTAGGATTCAAGGTAGGAATGGGCATGGTACCTATTTTGGGTACTGGTTCAACGGGTGTCTCGGGTGCGCGGAGGTTGATCGCAGAGCTGCTACTGCGAAGTTGCTTGTTGTACTCGGTCTGATCCTGCTGATTGCGATTAGAAAAGAAGCTCGCCTTGGATGCTGTCATAGGTGTGCTGGGTGTCTTGGCTGCACGCTTTGGAGGAGGTGTAACATTGCGATTGTTGACCTCGGCAGATGGAGGTGGAAATGACGAGATCCTATTGTTCGTGGGCGTTCCCAGTGGTAGCAAATTCAATGGCGGCAATCGAATTGGTTGCAAGTTCTTCTTGGTCGACTGTTGCGCAGCAGGTTGTCTGTCAGGCTCCGAGCCAGATCCGACTGTTAGCCCCCTACGGTGCCGAACGGACCCAGTCGAGCTCTTCAGTCCGGGACTTCCGCTCTGAGCATCATCACGGCGAAGGCCAGATACGGGGGCGTTGGCTGCAGTCGACGATCCCTGTGAGGGTTGAGCGGACATGTTGGGCTGTGCAGTATGCGCCCCAAAAGCAAAGCTGCTGCGCTCAGGATCCTTTGGCGATTCATAGGCTTTTGGAATGGCTGGAACAGGAGGCACCTCTTCACCATCCTCTCCTCCTGCTGAACTATGTACGTTTCTTGACTTGGGTGTCGGTAGTCGCGAGCTTGCAAGAGTGGGAATCGGTCGCAGAGGCATGGAAGGGTTGTTCATTTTGAGTGAATTGAGGCTAGAGTTTGATGATAGGGAGACGCCAGATGCATACGATTTGCGATTTTGTTCGGGTGTAGCACGAGCAGAGGACGGCGTCATGCTCTTTGTGTAGGTGACGGCAGGCGACTGGTTGAAGATCTGGTCCTCAAAGGTATGATCACCCTGGGGAGTGGGAGGGCCAACGGGACCACCGGACGGATTGGGATTCATAGACAGTCGTCTCAGCCGCCGAGCATCGGTTGGACTGATGGTTCTTGCTCCTAGGCCGGAGATGTGGGGTGCGGTTGACTGCCGCTTGCTCGAAGTCGACGATGGGGTTAGGGTTCGCTGTGCAGGCGATCTTCCTGCCGAACGGTTATGATTCATAGGCATACCGTTTGGATCTGGTGTCATGGATGCCACAGCCAGGTGCCCAGACTGCAGTCTCGAGGGTGGCTGGAATGACTTTGCTTTTGCTGTCCGCGCTGCATTTGGCAGTCTGGGTACGGCGGTTGTAGAGGTAATGCCTGAAGAGAGCGTCTCGCGGCGGCTCCCTTTATTCAGCGAGGGCGAACAGGCGTTTTGCGATGACACGTTGTCAGCAGCTAGCCTGGATGTGTCGTGTCGGCTCTCGAAGCTGCTTGTTGGCATGATTCCAGGGCCAACGCTCTTTCGTGGTGCACGTGCAGCGGCATGCGGCGGGGCCTGGGCAGGGAATTGGCTCTGTCGCCGTGTGCGGATGGCCATGTTGGAGGGCGGTGGTGGCATTGACGAGCCGTCGGTGGCAAAGGTATTGCTGTTGCCCGAGACGGTGGCGCCCATGGACTTGCGGCTGTTTGACTGGCTGAAGCGGCGCGCGAAAGAGCTGCTGCGTGCTGGACGTGTTTCTGTTGGGGCGCTGGGGAAGGGCGCCATGTTGGGGGTGCTGTTGCTTGCAGGCAGGAGGCTGTTGTGATTTCTGGTGGTGGTGCTAGTGGTGTTCGTCGTGGTATTGGTAGTGTTGTTGTTACTGTTCTCGGTGTTGCTCTTGAAGGTGCCCGGCGCTGGAAAGTCACTCAGGTCGGGCTCATAGGCGAGGCTGTTGGCGAAGTCGTCAAAGTTGACCGAGGGGAGAAAGTCAAGCGAACTGGTGGTGCTCTCGGGGTAGTCTGGAGAGGCGAGCTCGGGTTGCTTGGAAAAGCTGAAGGGTGGGTTTGCAGGCACTGGGCGCGTCGTGGCCTCATTTGTGGCCGTGGGTAGGAAGGAGCGACCCTCGATCGAAGCCGCGCTGGTTCCACTCACGATTCTACTGTGAACACACAAAGATGCGTTAGCCATTGTACGGAAATGATGGTAGCCATGGTGTTATCATCATCGGAACAGGCAAAAGTAGGAATCAGAACAAGAACAAGAACAAGAAGAGGAATCGGAATAGGAATAGGATAGGAATAAGAATAGGAACAAGAACCAGAACCAGGACAGACCAGCCACCATCATCACACAGCAATAATGATGGCATATAGGTCCAACAACAACGGAGTGCACTCCTACCTACCTCTGCTTGGAAAAGTCTTGGGGCCTCTCGCGTGGGCCCAGTGGCACCTTGTTCCGCCCACCACGTAGTGCTGGCGGTGGCGGCCGTGAAGCGTTTATGGCGTTTGAGGCGCTCGTCTTGCGCAGGCGGCTGCCATTCTCCGTCGTCTTTTGGAACTTGCGCACGCGGTCCTCTGGCGGAGTTTCACTATCAGCATCTCCCTCGCACATCACCAATCCGCCTTGTTGCCGTGTCAACCTACCGGACGAGCCACTGGAATCCTCCGCCGAAAGGGTGGAGCCCGACCTCACTGGGGGGGCGGTGGACGCTGTCGACTCGTCCATGGCTCGAGGAGCTGTTCGGGGCTGGGTGGTGGTGGCCATGGGTCAGCACCGCAATCTGCCACTGCGATGCAACAACCGCAACCGCAACCGCACCGATGCAGGAGAACAGGCAGGCCGTACCAGCTCTGCCGCCAGCCGAGCGCTGGTAGGTTTCTGTACTCCGAGTGGTGTTTTGGGGGTGGTGCGCGCGGAGACTGACTCCAAGCGGCGAGCTTGGGCGCCGGTCAGAACTATGCTAACATGTCGACCGGGTCCGAGGCGGCGGTGAAGGGGGGATCTGCGGGAGCCGCGATACGTCGAAGCGGAATATACGTAGGGGCAGCGTGCACGGGTGTGGAGAGGGAAGGAGGCGGCACTCCGGCAGACGAGGAGGTGAGGCGCTCAGGTGTAGATGAGGCAGACGATGACAATGGGAGGGCGGTCGATGATGGGTCGTTTGGAGTTACAGTTGAGGCACGTTCGCAAGCTCGCCAAAAGACCAGCTAGAAAGGGTCAAGCCTTCAAGGTTGTCGAGCGCCCTCCAGTGCTTCCCTCCCCCCGCCCCTGCAGGCTGTCTCGGTCCGCCGCCAGAACAGCGAATGGCATGCCATGACATGATTCCATCAAAACAACGTTCCTTGTCTCGCTCTCGTCGCTCTCTCCTCTCCCCGGAAACCGATGGCCGCGTCCAACGGGCCAGCCAGTCGAGGAATGAGCCGGCCATCCATGATCAAACACAAAAGCACAGAGAAGAAGGCCGGCCCTCTCTCCCCACGCCTCTGCTTGCCGAGCTCGTGGCCCCAGACGACGGATGCACACCAGGCAGTGCGACCAGAACTACTGCCCCTCGACCTTGGTACACAGCGCAACGCAACGCAACGCTATCTCACACCCTTGTACGGCTCTCAGCATGTGCACGACTGCACGCCAAAAAAAAAAAGAAGCAAAAAAAAAAACAAAGGGACGCTACAGGGCCGCTGACTATGGCTTTTGGGCTTGATTCATTAACAACAACAAGGACAAGCATGCCAGCCACCCCATGCGACCGTCCAACGATGAACATGTGTGTCGTTGAGGACAAGGTCAAAAGGCAGAGTATAAGAAACGGCTCTTATTGACTACTTCGGATGCATGCTGGAATCTGCATGTTGTGATGGTACCTACCTATCGTGCGACTCTCATAACCTTGCTTGCCACAGTATCCTACACGCACGGAATGAAGTGAATTATGCATCGAAACCGTAGATGATTCTCACCGAAGTACCGCCAAGGCCAAAGCCCCCTGCGGACTGAACGAGTTCTGCGACAGCATGCATCTCTAATTGCCCATGGGCCTATCCCCACCATGCCTACTACAACGGCACAGTATATGGTTTCCCAGCCCATGCTGCATGTGTTGTGCCAGTGTGCCTGATGATCAGGGTCAGGCTACATGACGCCCAGGACGCACAGACGACTGGTGGGGAACTGGCCCAAATAGGCAAGGTTCCACAAGCAAGCCACAGACCGGGCCAGCCATGCCATGAGCTACGGCTTGCCTGCGTACGATACATACCGTAGTTGGGAGTGCGTCATGCTCACATGCATCTGGCTTTCCCTCTGCGATGCGCCATTTCCTGCATACCCCAGACCCGTCGAGAGAGCTTGGGTTCATTGACCGTACTCTCCGTCTTTGTCCTATCCGAGAAACTGACTGACAGGACGGAACCTGGGCCCGTCCCAAAGCGGTTGGTCTGTTTTTAGGCAGCTCTTCCTCGGTCACTGGGTCGCACCTGCTGTCTCTCCTTCGACACATGCCCGAAACCATCTACCCCCAAACATCTCAGCGGCGGATTGCACACTCTTCACTCGAACATTGCAACCCCTGGAGACTTCATCTACTCCCTCGAGTGGGAAGAGTGGTAGAGTGGTAGAGTGGACGAGTGGCACTACAAGGAACAGAGTCCATAAAGTGTAGACACGCAGAAAGCCAGACGGCTTCTCGAAACCACAATGGGCTCCAGCAAGGCAGAACCACTGGCCAACCGCGACGCACCTATCCCTGTCGTTCAGATACACCCTGCAGATGACAGCACACCAAGGACGTCTCATTCTAGAACACCAAGCGCGGATCATGGGCGCTCACATCGTCTCTCAGCCACCAAACTGAAAGATAAGCTAGAGTCCTTGGGCGAGAGTATAAATCGCGAATCATCAAGTAGAATGGGTGACAAGATGATGAACTTGTAAGCCTCCTGCGTCTTGGCTTGACTTTCCAAAGGGGAGTAAAAAGAATGATACATGCATCAACTAACGCTCATAGCAGGCTGCTTTCGCAAGTCCTTCCATCCGAAGATGTCCACGACGACTCAAATTCTGAAAATGGCGTCAATAACCCCTCAATACGCATCAAGGATCGACGGTCTCGTGCCTATGTCGAACGCCCCAGCTTCTCCATCCCGACCATGTCATCCAACTTTCGCCGCTTCAACTCCCGTATAGGCGTAGCTTTCATTCTACAAAACCGCCTCATCCGCCTCTTCACTTGGGTCCAGCCGACCCAGACCCTCTCTTTCCTCTTTGTATGGACTTTTGTTTGCATCGATCCACATCTGCTATCCGTCCTACCGCTTGCATGCGGAATGTTCTTCATCATGGTCCCAGCCTATCTAGCCCGACATCCAGAGCCAGAAGGTACCAGAAGCGTGGATGAAGTCTACATGGGCAACCTAGGAGGTCCACCACTGGCAGATGCACGGACGATCAAGCCCGCGCCAGAGTTCTCCAAAGACTTCTTCAGAAACATGCGAGACTTGCAAAACTGCATGGAAGACTTCTCGCGCTCGCACGACGCCGTCCTATCCTTCATTACCCCACTGACCAACTTCTCAAACGAGTCGTTGAGCTCCATGTTGTACATCCTCCTCCTTCTCCTCTCCAATGTGCTCTTCATTGCAGCGTACCTGCTTCCCTGGCGCTTCATCTTCCTGCTCCTCGGTTACACAGTCACCGCGCTTGGCCACCCCTCTATACAAGACATACTCACAACTCCCGAGACGGAGAAATTCATTACCGATGCTGAGCAGGAAGGCCGTTCATTCCTCCTGACCATCTCGAAATCCGACATTGAACTCGAGAGCAGTCGAGAAACACGAGAAGTCGAAATCTTTGAGCTACAGCACCGCGCTCTCCATGATGAATTCGGGGAATTTGAAAGCTTCATTTTTGGACCCAGTCCCTACGCCCCTTTGTCTCCTGCACGCATCTCAGGCGATAAGCCGCGAGGGACGCCGTTCTTCGAAGACGTACTACCACCTCGTGGCTGGCGTTGGAGCGACAAAAAGTGGACGCTCGACCTGCTTTCCCGTGAATGGGTAGAAGATCGATGCGTGACGGGGGTTGAAGTAGAAATGGAGGGTGAGCGCTGGGTCACCGATTTGCACTACGAGATTCTCGAAAGCGAAAGCAAGAAGGAGAGTAAAAGGCAGGCGTTGAAGCAGCGAGTCGGCTCAAAGGGAAGCAGGGATGTTGGGGAGGAGGAAAAGGCGGTTTTGAGACGGGCGTGGGAGAGCCATGCCCCGTCGAGGAAGGGCGAGTGGCGGAGACGAAGGTGGATTCGAAGTGTGGAGAGGATGCCGTTTAAGAGCTCGTGACCGTTTTGGCCATGTTTGTACCATGGTCTTCGCAAAAACGTATCAAGAGTGCATCATGATTCTCGTTGATTGATTCCAACTATGGGCAGGCCTGAGTTTTGTAATGACCCCCTGTCCCCGTATCTAAATGAAAACCCAGACCAACTGTCGAATCGAGTTTGGTGCCCCATGATCTGTGGCGCAAGATGTAAGAGTCTCCAGTGGATCCACTTGTTTGCAAGTCGTAGAGTAGATAGAGCAGAGTAGGTACCCCCACATTCGTACCTTGACTGTCTATGTATGTTTGATGGGCTAGCATCTACATACCTAGGGTAGTAGATAGGCACCTACTGTCGATCCGACTTCGGCAAAGCACCGTTATGCAGGGGTATATGCGCCAACGCCAACTATAGCACAACTTAGCGGCTCGTTGGCCGAAGGCGAACCCTACTCCTCCGATTTCTCCCCACAAGTTGGAACGTTTAGCAATCACTTTAGTTATTGGCTTACCCACGGAATCGATGATTCGGACTCGCCCGTTATATTACGTCTAGACTCAAGCGATTGTCCAGCAACTAGGAGCCATCAGACCATGGATGGCCCACGCACTCAATGCGCCCCCTCCCCTCCCTCGCCGGCGCAAAAGATTTTTTCTTTGGCAAAGCGTCGACGCTTGAGGCTTGAGGCTGGAGTACCGTGGTGCACGTGTGGTACCTATGCGTGGATTTCCAGCAAGATGGCGACTTTTCTTCTTCTCTTGCGGCCGCGGATGGTGGGGCTTTGCCTATTGTTCCTGTACCCTACTTACAGTCGCGTGTTGTCCTTCTCGATCCATCTCTCACTTGCCTGGCTAATTAGGAAACCTATCTAAGACCACTACTAATCCTCCGCGTGTCCGCCCACCGACCAAATACCTGGAGTTTAGTGCCCACTCCGAGACGACCCATCAGGCTAGGTTTCCTTTTGCCCACACACGCCTCTTTCACCTGGACACTCTCCTGGAACCCTTTGTGCATCTTTTGTCGAAGTCTACCTCGCTTCCTTCCTACTACGACCTACACAGAAGCAGATCCTACCAAGTGATTGGCACCTCCTTCTCCCTATCGGCCGCCTTAATCAACGGTAACCTACTAAGCCTTCAACGACAAATTATCACGCGAGATCAGGCTTGGGCCACAATTTGACTAACATCAACGCACCTGCATAAAAGCAGCAGCGGCTGCATCAAACGCTCCGCTTTGGCCCGTCTGCCCTGTATATATTCCTCTGCACGACCAAATCCTCGTCCCCCACGCTCTTCTCCTACAATGCTTCCAGATTTACCTCGGCTGAGCGACTACGACGTCTCGCCTCGGAACGGCTTCCTCCCTGACGAAGTACCACTGGACATTCTGCCGGACAGGTACTACCAACCCTGGGAGACGGTAGTACGGAACTTTCAGAGCTTGATCTTGGCTAAGCGGTTACGACGTGTCGTCGATGCTTTGCCCGTGCTGGAGACCGACCTTCTTCTCACAGAAGCCGAATGGCGCCGAGCCTACTCCATCCTAGCATTCATTGCCCATGGCTACATTTGGGGAGGCGACAGACCGTCTGATGTAAGTTATCAAGAACCCGTCTTGGAAAAGATGAGGGCCTAATGTCATATACAGATTGTGCCGCCATCCATATCCATACCATTGCTGGAAGTCTGTCGTCACCTGGAACTTCCCACGGTAGCCACATATGCAGGAGTGTGCCTGTGGAACTGGCGGCCGATATTCGATGGAGAGCCAATGGATACGCTCGACAACCTAGCCACGCACATGACCTTTACCGGATCGCTGGACGAATCGTGGTTCTACCTGGTGTCAGTGGCGATTGAAGCCCGGGCTGGCCCCGTCATCCCCTTGATGCTTGATGCGATCGCTGCGGCCAGGCGCAACGACAGCAGTACGGTCATCAATTGCCTACGATCTTTTGCGGAGCGACTGGACGAGCTTGGCACGCTTCTTGAGCGCATGTACGAAAGCTGTGACCCACATGTCTTCTATCACCGCATCCGCCCCTTCCTCGCCGGCAGTAAGAACATGGCAGACGCTGGCCTGCCAAACGGAGTCCTGTTTGACGACGGCACAGGCGAGGCACCCTATGTTGAACTCAGCGGAGGCAGCAACGCCCAGAGCTCCATCATCCAGTTCTTCGACGTCGTCCTAGGCGTCGAACACCGCCCAACCGGCGAGAAACGGACAGAGACCCCCGTAGTCCCTGGCCCAGGAGCATGCCCATCCCCATCCCCACCCCACGGTTTCATCCAAGACAGTGAGAAAGTACATGCCAGGCCCACACCGCAGATTTCTCGAACACATGGAGCGCATCGCCAACCTGCGCGAATACGTCAGCTCCCGACGACGAGACCGCGCCCTCACAACCGCCTACGACGCCTGCCTCGCCATGCTGCGCAGCCTCCGCGACAAGCACATCCAGCTCGTCTCGCGCTACATCATCATCAAATCGCGCGAAAGGACAGGCTCGCACTCCCACTCGCGCCCCATTGCCCTCTCCCTCTCCCCACCCAAGCAAGCCAGCCCGGCCCGGGTCAACATTGCAAACACCGTCGCCCGCACGGGCAGCAAGAAACTGCGCGGCACCGGCGGCACCGCCCTCATCCCCTTTCTCAAGCAGGCGCGCGACGAGACGGGCGAGCCGGCGATTGATGCCTGGGCGCGCCGGTTGCTGAACAATGGGCCGGCGGAGTTTGGGGGCGCCGAGGAGGGCAGTGTGAGGCTGGGCAAGGTGGCGGAGGGGTTGGATGGAGAGGTTGAGGTTGTGGGGTTGGCGGGGGTGTGGAGTGTGGATGATAGTGAGGGGGGGATATGTCATTGGTGATGGGGTGTGTGAGGATTGGGGGTTGAAGTAAAAGGGTAGGATGGCGTGGAGGAGAGGAGATGCACGAAGCCCAGGCTGGCTTGACGTCAATCCAGCATAACCAGGACGCAGAACATGAGCATGAACATCAACGGCTTAGTCTAGAGATGGTCAACGATCTGCGATGATGTAGTATGATGCTGCCATGCCATGTAGGTATAGTAGAGTAGAGTAGTACAGTACAATACAAAGACAGCACACCAGCCACACTCGACTCGGGAGGGTGGCGTGTGGAAGTTGTTTGGCGCCGTGCACAGCACAATTCTCGGGATTCTACAGTCTACAATTGACTAGCACTCTGTACTGTACTGTACTGTACTGTACTGTACTATATTATACCGTCCAGACCAGACCAGAGCGCACAGGACCAGTACTCTAGCTGGGCGCACGCAAACCTGCTTTGATTTCGCAACCCGCAGCAAAGCTTGCGTGGCTCATGACGCCACACCAGCGGCTGAGCCGAGCGATCCGGGCGCTGGCGAAGAAAATGAAAGGAAGGAAAACAAGCGAGCAGGTAAGCAGGGCAGGGAAGCAGGGAAGCAGGCAGGAAGAGTAGAGTAGAAAGCTGCCAGTGCCCAGTGCCCGATTGCGCAGTCTCGTGTTGTGGGTACTACCAAGGTGAGGAACTGTACTGTAGCCTACGGTTCTCTACTCTTACATGGGGACATGCTGTAGTACTACTTAATGCTACTCCACTACTCACTACTCTACGCCCTGGATTCTCGACTCTTCAAACGGGTTGCCAGCAAGAAACGAGGCAAGGGCAAGGTGTGAGCTGTGGCGCGTACTGTGACGGGCTTATGCGGCGGCTGGAGGGGGCGGCTTGCCCTGGGGCTTGGCTGTCACGACACGAAGACTGTTCGTCGGGGTGCGGGAATGGCTACGTCATGGGTCGAGTTTGGTCAAGTGGTGGTCACCAGGTTGGAGGCTTCCATAAATACTAGGCCGCCCCTCGCTGCTTTTTCCTTGCTTTGTTGGACAGAAGGAAACTTCTTTTTACTCGGTGCTGCAACTGCTACTGCTACTTCACTGCTACTGCTACTGCTACTCCACTGCTGGCTACTACTGCTACTACTACTGCTACTACTACTACTACTACTACTACTGCTACTACTACTACTACTACTACTACTGCTGCTTCTCCACCTTACGAGCACTTTGCCCTTCTAGTACTCCCTCCCCCCCGCCTCATCCAACACCCTTCACATCTAGCTTTCTTCTCCTCTGCGAAGAAACACCCCCACCCCCACCAACAACAGCCATGCCTTTCACCGCCAGCGATATCTGCAAGATCCTCCTTGCCATCATCCTCCCTCCTCTAGGTGTCTTCCTCGAGCGCGGCTGCAATGCTGATTTCCTCATCAACATCCTCTTGACCGTTCTTGGTTACATTCCGGTTAGTCCCGCCCCCTCCTTCATCGTACCACCACATGATCGCCTAACGCTTGCGACCAGGGTATCATCCACGCGCTGTACATTATTTTCAAGTTTTAGCCTCACCCGCCCGCATCATCATCAACAACATCAACAGCAGCAGCAACAACAGCAACAACAACAACAACAACAACAACAACAACAACCGGCGGCCATGTTACGGTAAAGGCAAACGACAACTCTACACCACATCACGATACCCATCTCTTATTTCCCAGCCAGCCAGCCACGACATCAAGACTTCACCGCTTCTTCCGTCTGCGATTCATTTTGTTTGAAAAGGCGTACGAGGTTCAGCGAATGGCGTGTTCGGGCTTTTGTCCTGGCTTGGACTGCTTGACCACTGGACGGACGTAGCATACTGTACTTAATGAGAACGATAATGAAACTTTTGAAACCACGCTCCATGTACAGGCTGTGAAGATGGAGAAATACTGGTCACGTTCTTTGATTCTTTCATGACTGCATCTTCATCGCGGTGTCTGCAATGTCAAGGTGGTGAGACCTGGGCATGCCATCGCCAAAGAACCATGGGACGTGCGTGATCCTCTCACCCCTTCAACGCGTTCCCCCACCCAAAAGAAATCACGATCCGTGACACCTCCAACCCGCCCAACTTGTCCCCAAGGCCCCCATGTCTCTCCCCCAGCGCCAGGAATCCCATCTCCGTCTCTTATTCCGCAAGTCGCGCTACAAGTAGGGTGCGCGCCTGCCACAAAGCAAAGCATGGACTACAGCGCCCAGCTGTCCGCCGCAGAAATCCAATGCCTCGGCAATCCAGACTCGACTTTTGACAACGCCACGCGCGACCTCGAATCCACCGGCTCTCCGAACGAATGGGCGTTCCAGCGGTGTTTGCGGATCAAGAATACGCTGGATGCGTGGGAGCACAGGGTCCGGGCGGACCCGTCTTGGGGCCTGTTGGCGCTGCTGCTGCATGGTGAATACCAGTTTTGGCGCGAGTATGCGCCCCTGGGGGATGTAAGATGGAATCCCTTTTTGTCGCATTGGGTCAACTATATCCAGTGTCTGGACACCGAGAGCGCGAACAAGGCATTGAGTGTGGCAGGGAGCTACGACGCCGCGACGAGGGAGCCGAGTGCAGAGGTCATCGTAGCTGTCAGGGGGGAATGGATAAAGAAGATGCTGTCGTCGGGCTTGGAATCAGATATCCACGCCATGACACCGCGCACTCTACACCATCTGGCCAGCCTGAGCGTCAAGAAACCATTCGCCATCCAACCCTATCTACAAATCCTCCTCGACGACGGAATCTACTCCACCTCCGACCTCCCCGTATCCTCAACCCCAGACTCCACCCCTCCGACCTCCCCGCCCGGCCTCACAAACGGACACCCCGGGCAAGACACCCCGGGCGCCAACGCCGACTGGAAAGACGGAATCCGAGAGCGTCTAGCCAGGCAGCCCTGCACCGCCGTCCACGAACTCTCCCGCCTCCCCTTGCAACTGCCTCACCTCGACTTCCTGACCAAACTCCTCGCCGAACATACCCTAGAATCGCACTCAATCGACCCCGAACCCGTTGTCCTGTCGTATATCCAACATTCGCTCCGCACAATTGAACGTATGGGGTCGGCGCCGCCGCTGGCTGGACAGGATCTTCATCCTCGTCAAGACAGTAGTACTACCTCCACCACCACTACGACTACTACGACTCCCCCTGCCAACGACCCCACCAACGCCAACACCAACCCCCCGCACAACAACGACGAAGACGAAGAACCCATCTGGGAATACGGCAAGGAGGCGCAAGCACGCCATGTCCGACTCTTACTCTTGTTCATCAAGAGTCTGATTAGAAAGCGGCTCCTGGGTATGGACACGCTGTATTTTGAGATTCAGGAGATTTGCTATCGTTATGTTTGGATTGGGGAGGTTAGGGAATTTAGGCGGTGGGTTGGGGAGGGGGATGATGTAGGGTTGTGAAAAGGTGGCTCGCGGTAAAGAGGGTACTATGTACAAGGAGGGGATTTGTACGAGATGGCCAGCGTCGACTGGGATGTATGATTGTTTGCTGTGGGATGCTTTTGCTACATACATGTGTTCATCCCTAGATGTGGGGACTTGAATCCAAGTGATACTACAAGGGAAGGCTACCAATGTAAATGTAAGATAAAATCCTCGATGTATAGAAGGGTGAAGAGACTTGGTCGTTTCGATCATGGTTGATGACGTCCTTATCGATAGCAACGAAATGGGAAATTATCACCAGTCGCAATCACGTTCACCTCCTCACATCACAGTTCACACTCAAAGTCTTCACCCAGACATTCACTTTTTGATACCCAGACCTCTCTACATCTTTTAACCCTTAAGAAAATGCCTCGTGATCCTCTGATTGGTCTCGTAGGCAAGCCATCGTCTGGCAAGTCCACAACGTTGAATAGGTGCGCGATGCCCCTCCACCCCCTCTCTCTCCTTCCTTGGACCATGGTCTGATCTAGTGGTTCCCAGTTTAACAGATGCCACGTCCAAAGTCGGTCCGTACAAATTGAAAAAGCATGTTTTAGGAATATCGCAGGCTGATTAGGCTCTCAGGTAACTTTCCGTAAGTCGTCCCGTCTCGAATCCAGCTTGGTGGCACGCGTCGCCAGTCGCATGGCCCCCAAGATATCTTTCCATGCGTGTGCCCTCTACCATTTCACAGCAGGCTAACGCGGAATGATAGATTCACCACAATCGATCCCCAGCGCGCAATCGGCTACCTCCAAATACCATGCGCCTGCGCACGCGTGGGCGCATCCGACCGCTGTAAACCAAACTATGGCTCTTGCGTCGATGGCAAGCGCTCTGTCCCCATTGAACTCCTCGATGTCGCGGGCCTGGTGCCTGGCGCGCATGAAGGCAAAGGCCTAGGAAACAGATTCTTGGACGACTTGCGACACGCCGACGCCCTCGTGCACGTGGTCGATGTTAGCGGGACGACAGACGCAGAAGGCAAGGCGACTCGCGGATACGATCCCAGTCAAGACATTGTATGGCTGCGCAGTGAAATCGTGCAATGGATACAAGGCAATCTGATGCAGAAATGGGGATCGATCAAGCGACGCCATGTCGCCATCAAAGCAACGGCCGTCGAAACCCTGCAAAACCAATTCTCCGGCTACGGCTCGACCTCGACCGTAGTCGCCCGCTGTCTCGACAAACTCGGGCTCAAAGAACCGCTCCAAGACTGGACGCCCGAGACAATCGAACGGGTAGTCGAAGCCTTCACGGACGAGAAATTCCCCACCGTCATCGCCCTGAACAAAATCGACCACCCAGACGCGGACAAGAACATTGCAAAGATAGCAAAAACCCAAGACCCACAAACCATTGTCCTCGCCAGCGCAATCTCCGAAGTCTTTTTGCGCAAACTCGCAAAACAAGGCTTCATCCACTACACCCCCGGCGCCGACTTCTTCGACACCCGCCAAGACCTCCTCGACGCCGGCGAACCCAAAGCCGACACCCTCAAACCCCTCGACGACAAGCTCGCCCAACGGCTCGAAAACTTAAAGGACATGGTCCTCTACCGCTTCGGCAGCACCGGCGTCGTCGAAGTCCTTTCCCGCGCCGCCCACCTCCTCGGCCTCGTCCCCGTCTTTCCTGTACGCAATATCCACACGTTTACGAGCGGGAGTTCTGGCGCTACCGCTGCCTTTCGCGATTGCGTGCTTGTGAAGCGGGGGAGTACGGTGGGCGATGTGTTTCGCAAGGTCATGGGTGATGCGCCCATGGCCTATGTGGAGACGGAAGGGGGGCGGAGGGTTGCAGAGGATGACGTGGTGGAGGTTGGGCGGAATGATGTATGTTTTTTCTTCTTCTTCTTCTTCTTCTTCTTCTTCTTCTTCTCTTCTTTCTCTCCTTCTTCTTGCTCTTTTCTCCCCCCTTCCCTTCTTTTCCCGCTGCTTTTCTTCTTATTCGTCAATGCTGTCTTTGTGTTGCACTCGTGGACCGTTGAAGCTGTGCTTCGTGCTTCATGCTCGTGCTCGTGCTCGTGCTCGTGCTCATGCTCATGCTCATGCTCATTCCATGACCACAGATATTGTCGTTTAAAGTCGGACGAGCGTAGTTGGCGTTGGCCGTTGGTTGGCGTTGGCGTCGGACGCGGAAGGAAGGAGTGGACATGAATGTCAAGGCGATGCGAGAGCGAGAGCGAGAGTGAGAGCGAGAGTGAGAGTGGCAAGGAGAGTGGCAAGGAGAGTGGCAATGAGGAAAGGTAAGAAAAAGGTAGGATGTATATAGACAGGTATCCAGTCTCAAGTCTACAAGTGCAATCTATCCCTCTCTCCTTGCTCCACCACCATAATGCAGAATTCTCACCCATGAAATCTACAAGGATCCATCCATCTATCCAGCCATCAACCAACCAACTACATCCCTAACCAGCACAGTAACAAACCAATCCTCCCGGATTCAATCATCAATTCTCACACAATCAGTAACCAATCCTCACGTTTTCAATCATCAACTCTCACATAGTCATAACCAATTCCCACATACTCAATAATTCTCCTCATATATACATACTCACTACCCAGTACCACCAACAAAGCAAAGTATCCACATGCCACCTCAAAGAGAAAAGAGTCCAAGAGATCAAAGGGGCGGAAGAGCGCCAAGTTGAACCCCAGCCACTCACTCTGCTGCAAAGTTGTTGTCTTGCATACACCAAAAACAAACAGTAGAAACTATGCCTTCTACGAGAAAATCCACAAGTTGTAATTGTTCAAAATGAAACAAAAGGGTTCCCAGTTAACGTTGCCCGCACTGGGTCGTTGCATTACATGCAGCTGGAACTCTTCTTCTCCTTGTTCCTCTCCTTCTTCCAACAACACAACGTTGTCAAGTGAGCATACATGTCCGAGATTGCGCTTTTACCCGACGAGAGCTCCACCGAAAAGAGTGGAGATCAAAACGACTACGCCGCAAACAAATGGTCCCAGGGAGAGTTCACCGGGACGGGTGCTGGAAGCAGCGCTCTTGGAGGCCGAGGGGGAGCTAGCATCGCCACCTTCATTTGCACCGCTTGTGACAGCACCGTCTGCAGCACCGGCAAGATCAGTGGACGAGGATCCAGCAGTCTGGGAGCCAGAGCCAGAGAGGCCAGGACCGTCACCAGCACCCTTGTTGAATAGTTCCTTGGCACCTTCGGGAAGGGCGGGGAGCTGGTCAGGCTTCATGGTCACTTCCCACGTCTTGGACTGGGGAGGGCACTCCGAGGGACCACCGTCAGACTTGTAGCCCCCGTCGCCGCTGGGGTTCTTGGTCCCTGCGAAAGCAGACTTGAGGGCCTTGTAGTCGCTGCGCTCCGTGACCGAGTTGCCTTTGATCTCGACGAGACCGTAGTTGGAGTCTTCCTGGGAGTATTCATAGACGAGACCGCCAGAGTAGACGCCAGTCATGTCGGTGCTGTACAAGCTCTTGACCTCTTCAAACTTGCGCTCGTTCTTGTTGCAGCCATACTCGGACAGGCTATGGTTGTTAGACCAGGTGGCGGGTAAGGGTACAGGCATGACTTACAAAATGGGGATGCTGTAGTTCTTGAACTTTTCCACCTTTTGGTCCCAACCAGAGGTGGTGTAGGACGAAGGGTCGCACCACGAATAGTCGTTGAAACCGAAGAAGTCGCTGCGAGCCGCATCAGGACCGCAGTTCATGTAGGCGGCCATTTCGTAGCGGTTCGACTCGACATCAGCGGCAGAGTAACCAACAGGAATCTTTCGGAGGCCACGGGCGTTCATGTAAGACTTGATGTCACGAGTGACAGCCTTGACGTAGGGAGCGCAGTTGGTCGTCTTGTCGTCGTTGATAACCTCGTTGGCGGAGAAGAAGAGGAGGGTGTTGTCGTACTTGGCAAACATTTCGACGGTAGCGAAAACGCTCTGCAGATAGACCTTGTTGTACGACATTTGGGGGTCGGCACGATTAATTGAATACTTGGGGGTGTTCAAGTCGAGAGCGAGGTAGATGCCCGCGTCAGCCAGAGCGTTCATGCACTCGTCGTGGTTGGCCGAGTTGTCGACCGTGTAGATGCGGACCGTGTTGATACCAAGGTCCTTGAACTTTTCAATGTCACGCTTGCAGCCATCCACATCAGCAATGGGATCTTTGGCGTCAGAAGCGCCGCCAGGCTGGTAATCAACACCACGAATGTAGAAGCGTTCCTTGCCAGCAAAGAATGCTTGAGGAGTGGGTCAGTCACGATCGAAGAGTGAGGGGGTTGAATTAGGGGGGAGATGTACCATTTCCCTTGACAGTCACCGGTGTGATGGCGCGCTTCTGGACAGCGGAGGGTGTCGCAGTGACGGATGCCACGAGGGCAGCTGCAAATGCTGCGGCCTTCATGATGTGGAGCGGTGTTGGAGTGAGGATAGTTGGATAGTCAAGTAGAAACGGGCGTGTTGTTGAAGTAGGTAGGGTGCCAAACGACTGTTGTGGGTATCGAAAAAGCAGGCACAGTGCCTGAAGAGGGCAGAAAACGAGTGTGTGAAAAGGGTGATGGATTGGAACAAGTAGAGAGACGGCCCTTCAAACTGTGATGTGGGCTGTGATAAAAGGGAGAAAGGGGAGAGGGGGAGAGAGAGAGAGAGAGAGAGAGAGAGAGAGAGAGAGAGAAGACAAGAAAAAGATTGCGGTTTCCAGGGAGAAGAAGAAGAAGGAGAAGGAGCGAGTAGGGGCTGCTTGTTTGAATGGCAGGAGGTCTGGGGTGGTGGCGGAATGCTCTTGCCCCGCATCCCTGCTAGTGCTCGTCAACACGATGCAAGCACAACCAAGCAGTCGATCCCCCCCTGTGACAAGCCCTCCACCAAGACCACGCAAGCCCCAACCCGCTGCCACTCTCCGACTGTGGGCCGAACAAGCTGTGGAGCCAAGCAATCGCCGCATGCTTGTCTAGCGTGCGTCATCCCGCTGCTGAAACGCGCGTTCAGCCCGACAATCCATTCTCCAACGCGCGCTGCTGGTGGGACCGTTGCGCTGATCGAAATCAGCCAGTGGTTGCAGTGTTGGCTGTTTTGTTGTGGGCTGTCGACATTATGGGGGGGGGGGGATTGCATGTGAGATTGATTTGATGTGGAAAGGGTCATACCATCCTCCCTAGCTTGGCTTACTGTGTGTGGCCTTGAAGTATTAACTCCCTGGTAGCTAGTAAGCCCAGGGAGGGAGAAGAGGGAAAGAATACGATCCTCACATTCTAATTTTGGCATGCACTCGTATTGGGCCTCGAGGCTCCATTGGTTTATTGGGTGGCCAAACGGCCATTTCTATCTCTGGCGCGAGGTTACGTCAGTTCTATTGACCTGATGACTTGACTGCTTTGTTTCAAAGTAAACCCGGTCTGCTTGTATTCTGTTTGTATCCATCTTGACAAGTGCCAATCCTGATACAAAGCCGCATGAACAAATCTTCTCCGTGTTTTTGCGGCACAGAGAGACCAAGAAAGGGTGATTGACACTACTGGATGCTTACATCACCACGCTATTTCCTATCCAAGACGAAAGCCCAACAACGACTGAATAACTAACCGCCGCAGAGCATGACCACACAAGTTCCACTCAATACCAAAAAGAAGACAGTCTCACAAAAGCAAGCCAGGTATCATCCATGTTCATTTCAACACACCTGCCAAGTCTACTCCACTGTACTCTGTACATCACATCCACATCCACATCCACATCCCTCTTCCCTCTCCCAACCCCCCTACCTCCCCTCTAACCAACCCACCTCCAGCCTCCCTAAACACCAATCCACCACCTCCTCCTCCCACCACATGTACACGTACGCAATATGCGCTCGTGTATGAATTGTGAAAAACAAAACACAATACACAAGACAGTAAAAAGTCTACCAAGCGTTCGAGTCTACGGTCTCGAGCTCGGTGTTAGTTGGGTTTACTCTAGAAGGGTGGGTGTAGAGTGGGGAGTTGCGGAAGTATACTACTCTATGCTATTCTGAGTCTGCTGTACTGTCATACTGTCACACCCCAAGCCCAGGGACCATCATACCCTCACGCCCTCCCCCCTCCACCCCTCCAACCAAACAATTCGCCCCAAGAGCACCAAGTAAAAAAGAAACAAAAGTTATAATTTCTTCCTAGAAATCCAGTATTATCGTTATTCGCGTACTATCTTTGAGACATGGGGGGGATAAAAGAGAGGAAAAACAACATGGATGACCATGCATGCAAACACATCGGCAACATCATACGTATGAACCCTTTCCCCCCCCCCAAAAAAAAAGGCCATGCACTCTCGCGCATCCACTCTTGCATCGGCAACTTCTCCCACCCCACCCCACCCCAACCCCCTCACTTCTTCACCGCCCCAAAATAAATCCCCAACACCAGCGCCAGAATCGCCAGAATCGCCAAGACGACAAACAGCGTCCACCACTTCAACTTGCGAGCCCGCCGCGCGCTCTTGATGCCCTCGTTGAGCTGGACATTGGCCTTTTCCGTGTCGGCCTTGACCTGCGTCGTTTGCTCCTCGGCCTGGACGACCTGGGCTTCTTGGTAGACGACCTGTTCGTTGAGTTGGGTGAAGAGCAAGGCTAGTTCTGACATGGTCTTCTCGATGCGTTGGATGTCGTTGTGGCGGGCGCGGACGGCGCCGAGGACGCTCGAGGCTTGGCCGGAGCGGTTGGATTTGAGCTAGATGGGTTGGTTAGTAGGTTGTTGGGTGTGGAATATACGATTGGTGGGGCTGGGTGGTGTAAGCTAGCGGGCAAGAGGGGGAAACAAACGTACGGCTTGGGTGAAGATGCCTTCGTCGCCCCAATCACTATTCTGCGCCTCGAGCACTTCCTCCTCGGTCGCCTCGGGATTGATGATCCGGTATTGCCGGCCAATGGCCTCGCGGTACCGCTTACTGTAATCCGCCTCCTCCCTCTGGAAATCCTCCAATTGCTTCTTAAACGTGCTCTTGAGATTCTTGACCTGGCTCTGCTTGAGGCTGTTGCCGGGGTCGCGCGCGGCGTCGCGCTCCAGGAACTTGATTTCATCCTTGATCTGCGTGTTGCGGATCTGCGTCTGCGTCACAATGGCTTCGAGCTCCGTGGACGAGCGGTTGTCGGGCGAGGACAGCATGCGCTGGTGGATGGTGGAGATGGCTTGGATGTCCGACGTGAGTTGATTGATGCGCTCTTTTGCGCCCGAGACGCGCGCAAGAAAGTCTTCTTGGCGGAGGGGTCGCGCGCCGTGCTGCTGTTCGGGGCCGCCGTAGCTGTTGCCGACTGCAGCGGCGCCGTTGTTGTTGTTGTTGTTGTTGTTGCTGTTGGCGCCGTGCAGGTTGGACATGGGCACATCGGTGTGGGGGACATTTTGCGTAGTTTGTTGGGCGTGACTGTTGTGCTGGCTCAAGGCTGCGCCGCCCTGCGAGTATTGCGACGGCTGGGAGTAGTTGGAGTCGGCTTGCTGCAGCGGCGCGGGGGGGTTGAGCTGCTCGTCATACTGCCATCTTCGATTAGTGGACCGTCTTGGAGTTTGGATGAAGATTCGCGCAGGGCAATGGCTGTTGGTCGGGGTCGGAGCGCTACTTACACCGCCGCCGTACGGGTTGGAGGAGCCATAACCGGCACCGCCATATGGATTCGACTGTTGGCCTGCGTATCCGCCCTCATTCTGGCCGTAGGGATTGCCTCCATAAGCATTGTACTGTTGCGACATAGCGGGCGTGGTTGTGGTGGTGGCGGTGGTGGTACTGCTGGTGCGGAATGGGTTGACAAGGTGAGGGCGATGGTACCGCGCAGCTGTGGAGCTTGCAAGTGCAGTGTCTTGAGCGGAAGCTACGGAATCGCGCTGCTACCTCGCTGACAGAGTAAGGCGATGCGAGCGGACGGGCGAACGAGCGAGCGAACAAACGAATGAACGAATGCGCGAGCGAGGGAACTTTGCGCCTTGGACCTGCAAATCAGCCGAGCAAGCGAGCCCCCGTGAGCGGCAAACAAAACCAACCAGGCAGCAAACCAAGTAAACGCCCAGTGGGTGAGTAAGGAAACCAAGTAGCCAAACCAAGTACCCCAACCGAACCCCAACCCGAGCCCATGTCTTACAACTCTAGGTCCAGTCGGTAGGTACACATCTACGTGGACATCTACTGAGCTTCTCTAGATTCCATACAACCAACTGTAATAGTTTAGTGCGACAAGTCAACACACTAAGCTA